GCAGGTGGAGCCTACTACACCACAGCACCAGCCTAGTTATGCATATTTTTAGCAACATTCTCTTGTACAGTGGCTTTGGGGTTTAGAAAGCTCAGCAGAGACTCAAGTATATAAGCCAGCTCTCATAAAGAACTACCTTGTTCTACACAATCTGAAGCCTCAAGGGAACTTTTTGAAGGGAAAGAAGAAAGAAAAGAGCAGAAAGATCATTAAGTAAAATACAGCAAAACACTGTGAAAATATTTCTGTGAGTTATCTGTGGTTAGAAATTTTCCTTCATAGAAATGTTTTCTCACCCAAGACCCAAATTCAAGGTATTACTGACTCTCCCAACTACCGCCTACTATGTCCACTTTACTTTTGTTAATACTGGAAACTATACGAAGTATTTTAGAGCAATGTGCTTACAGCTAGCTTTAGTATAATGTAGCTAATCCATCAAGCAAGAATTAAGGTAAATGGACTGTTGGCCACAAAATCCAAAACCCATGTGAAGTTAAGCCTGCTTGAGAAAAAAAAATGCTACCTCATCATGATTGATCATTACAAGTTTATACTTTAATCCACACAAATTTCTGATGGGGATTAAGTTTCCTCCAATGCCCTTATGCCCTTCTACAAATAATTTCTGTCAGAATGTGTATCCAGAATCTGAGGAATTATGGGCCATTTCATTTACTTCTCTTTCACATTATAGACAATGCAAGAACAGTGGATCAAACAAAAACTCTTCCAGATAATTAATGGTGGCTCTATGGAAGCCATTTAGGATTACACTGAACAAAATTGAGATATTATTTTTATTCAGCTTTCAGGTTCTTAGCAAACAATGAAGTATTAACAAACCACATCAAAACAAGAATTCACTTGTGAATTTTACATGACTTGACTCATATGCTAGTATAATTAGTAAAGTAGAAAATATTGAAAAAAAGTCATGAAAAAATTAACTTGGTTCCTCATACTCAAAAGTTGTTTATTAAATGTTAGTTGAACTCAGCTAATTATGATGAGATTTCAGATTAGAAAATAGTAAAAATATAAAGCCTCAGTACTTGTCATTGAAATGCTACTCTGTACCCCAAAATAGAAGAGGACCAGTTTTTGCTTCTATACTTTCAGTCAAGGTAGCTTTGAATTTGAGTTTACCAGCTCTCAAAGAGAACTGGGACAGGAAGGAGAGCAACAATGTCTCAGGTGCTTTGGCCAACCTCATGAAAGTGGGACTGAAACGCAGAAATAAGTAAAGATACTGCCACAAAAGATTCATGTGAGAAACCTGGGCTATACGCAATGCTTTTCTGCCAAGGAAATAACAGATGATACAGGAGAAGTACTCTTTCTATCCATACAACATGGTGTCAGCCTAACTTTGGCCAACTGAGAACCCCAGTGGAAGAGCAGGGGAACACTGGGATCCTCAACAAAGAGAGCAAGAGAAGAAAGTGCTTGGAATTACCTATGAGGATTATTGTGAAGATACGTAAATAACTCTAGGGAGAGAAGGCATCTAGCCTAGCGGTTGAGAGAGCCTTGCATCACACATCTGAATACCTGAATTTGAGTTCTGGCTCTGGCTCCTGACTATAGCTTTCTGCTCATTCAGATCTTAAGAAGTAGCCATGATGGCTCTAGTAATTGGATTCCTGTCACCTACAAGGGAGAATTGAATTAAATTCCTGCCTCCTGACTTCTGCCCTGGCCAATCCCAGGTGAGGCAGGTCCTTAGGAAGTGAACCAGAGGGAATAGTTCTCACTTTTGCTCTTGCTTTCACTCTCATTCTGAAATATATACTTTTTTTTTTTTATTATTTGACAGGTAGTTATAGACAGAGAGAGAGAGAGAGAGAGAGAGAGAGAGAGAAAGAAAGAGGTCTTCCTTCTGTTGGTTCACTCCCCAAATGGCCGCTATGGCTGGCGCACTGTGCCGATCCAAAGCCAGGAGCCAGGTGCTCCTCCTGGTCTCTCATGTGGGTGCAGGGGCCCAAGCACTTGGGCCATCCTCTTCTGCCCTCCCGGGCCACAGCAGAGAGCTAGACTGGAAGAGGAGCAACCAGGACTAGAATCCGGCACCCATATGGGATTCCGGCGCCACATGCGGAGAATTAACCTAGGGAGCCATGGCGCTGGCTCCTCAAATATATACTTTTAAAATATCTTTTAAAAACCTCTTAAGAGAGGGCAGCCTTGTGGTACCACAGGTTAAGCTGTTGCCTGCAAAACCAAAGTCCCATATGAATTCCGATTTGAGTTCTGGCTGCTCGACTTCTGATCCAGCTCCCTGCTGAGCCTGGGAAAGCAGCAGATAATAGTTCAAGTACTTGGGTCCCTACCACACATATGGGAGACACAGGCTCCTGGCTTCAACCTGGCCCAACCCCAGCCATTGCAGCCATCTGGAGAGTGAACCAGCAGTTGGAAGCTCTCTATCTTTCCCTCTATCTGTCTTTCAAATAAATCTTTATTTTATTTATTTATTTTTGACAGGCAGAGTGGATAGTGAGAGAGAGAGACAGAGAGAAAGGTGTTCCTTTGCCGTTGGTTCACCCTCCAATGGCCGCTGTGGCTGGCGCGCTGTGGCCTGCGCACTGTGCTGATCCGAAGCCAGGAGCCAGGAGCTTCCTTCAGGTCTCCCACGCGGGTGCAAGGGCCTAAGCACTGGGGCCATCTTCTACTGCCTTTCCAGGCCATAGCAGAGAGCTGGATTGGAAGTGGAGCAGCTAGGACTCGAACTGGCACCCATATGGCAGCTGTGGCAGCTTTTAATCGGTAATAACTTCCCAGAAGGAATGGTAAACTCTTTAATCTACAATAATGACTGCAAACAAATTTCACATCTTAGAGCTATATGATTGTTGCAGCATTTCTAGAGCTAATTATTTCCTTTCAGGTCTTATTCTGGTGGTTGACTGGTTGACCTAGAACATTTTGACTGAATTATATCAGTGTCCAGTTGCCATATTCTGAAGACTTGATACTGGCTATCATTAACAGCAAAGCAACTCTTAGCTCATCACACTGCCACACAGCCTTCTTTGGACCACTGTACATCTCCATGTTGACTTAGTGAATCCTCTGGGGGTCTTCCTTTATGTGTGCTTATTCGGTTCATTTTGAACTTTGGGTTACAGTGAAAATTTCTTGAAGAGGGATCACTAAGACAGCATCCATTTGGATATTAAAGCCCTTTTCCTGCTTGACAAAATTTTCCTTTGAAGCACCTGCAAAACATACAATAAGTCCTACTATTATAAAAGGCAGTTCATGGACCAGCACCAATAATCTCATATGGAAGCCTCTAGAAATGCAAAAATTTGGACCCCAGACCTACTCAGCCAGAGTCTATTTGTACAAATTCTCAGAAAAAGAGCAGTAACTATAGTTTTTTTTGGTTCTTCCACTAGCACCATCTTCTCATTTGCAAGGTGAGGAACATGGGCAGGTCAACATTTCTTCCAGAATCCCCGCCAAAACTTTTTATTTATTTTTTTTTAAGATTTATTTATTTGAAAGTCAGTTACAGAGAGAAAGGTAGAGACAGAGAGATCTTCCATCCGCTGGTTCACTCCCCAGATGGCTACATCAGCCATAGCTGCGAGGATCCAAAGCCAGGAGCCAGGAGCTTCCTCCAGGTCTCCCACACGGGTGCAGGTGCCCAAGGAATTGAGCCATCCTCCACTGCTTTCCCAGGCCACACCAGAGAGCTGGATCAGAAGTGGAGCAGCTGGGACCCACACCGGCACCCATATGGAATGCCAGCACTACAGGCGGTGGCTTTACCTAATATGCCACAGCATTGCCCTCCCCCCCTTTTTTTTAATGTGCATTTTATTGCACTCATCTTTTCTAATCTGATGTCATGCATATTTAAATGTTACTAAAAAACAACCAAATATTCTTAGTGGAACAATATTACTTCAAGTCTGAGAAACTGCTCATTTTTGTCAATGGTGTAACAAATTTCAAGATCAGCACATTTTTTTTCTTCTATGCCTTCTTTGGGCAGGCTCATTGCAAATTATATGTATAAGCTATGGATAGACAGCTAGCATCTTCGAAGACTTTTCATCATTTACATGGTCATTCAAACTTATTTGCCATTTGGATAATTTTGTTAATGCTCTTCTTGACTGTTCAAACTCCACACTTCACACCTCCCAGTCTTTAGGACTTTACTCAAGCCACATCTCCTTGGAAAGACTTCTATGACCACCTCAGGCTACCCTCTCTCAAATTCTTACTCTTTAAAAACTGTTTATTTGTAGAATACTAAATTAAAAGATACTGTATTTTAAACCCTCTTTCATTCTTCATTCTACATAGCAGTTAACATGCTGGCCTGAATATAACAGCTTTCAAGTGTTTATTATGTACACAAAGGTCTAAAATGGATAGAGGAAAAATAAAACCTTTTTAGTGCTGAAGTTCATTTCATTTCATTTGTATACTATATAAGTGATTGTTCCACTGGCTCAGCCAATAATTGCAACTGTTTTAGTTCTAATTTTGGTTACCAAATTCTAGATGTCTTGTATAGTCATAAATGAACCAAAAGTGGCCACAAAACTGAATAATTAAATTGTTGATACCTATATTGTAATTACATGGGTGTCTGATTTATACATGTCATCACTGATGTTAGAATCAACTGGTTAAAAGGAATAGAATGAACAAAAGAATAAAAACAATTTTACTATCTGTTCTAATAGTTTACCAGTAAGTACATTTTAAAGAAAACTTTTAGTTGGCCTCAGATGGTAATCATTATGACCACAGAACTAGATGATCCCAAGAAGCATCTAAATGCGCCCTCTCTAGGGTGGTCTAGTCTTAACAGCATTTTTTGAAACCATGATAGAATAGCTCCTCTACTGATCCAAAAAAGAGATGATCCAAACTGCAAGGTTAAATGCAGCAATTCCTTTAGACCTTATTTGTTAAGAATTAAATCTAATCCTAAATTCTTCATGCTGCAGTTCAAGAAAAGAAATCATGACATCTTAGGCAAAATAAATACTTTATTGTTTTAAATTGGTTTTTTTTAGAAATCAGCTTTTGAGTGGTATTTCAAACATTTATAAACCTTTTAGATATTCTTTCAAAGAACCTGTTAACATCTCAACCACTTTTGATTAAAGTGTCACACAAAAAGAGACAATAGTTGGAAATCATAAATTCTAAAAGAAGAATTCCAATAACATTTAGTTATTTTACACATTTATTTAACACATACAAAACCAAATAGGAAACCACTTTCCTTTTTTCAAAAAAACAGTTTTCATTGGTTAAAACTTGAATTAAAACCATTTATGCATTTATGTATAAGGAGAACAAATCTAAATTACTTCCATTTTGACAAAAACAAAACCAGCTTATTCAATTCTATCCATTCAAGTCATAGGCCCCATTATTTTGATGAAATTCTACTACTTAGTCTACAACACAGTAGAAGAAACATGTTCTTAGAATAAAGAAGTCTGGACAATGCAAAAGGTACATAGTGTTTAACATAAGGCACATTTTTCCAAAACAAAAATACTACATAAGCTATAATAAAATTACATTTGTCTTGGATAAAGTAACAAGGTTTACAGTGTAAGAACATTAAGTAGTTATAGGTAACCTCATATAATTCTATCCTACTGCTATTAGTAACCTCCCCAAGAATTCAGAGTAATTTGTACAACAGAACAGTTTTTCTTCTTGGAAGTGACACTAACAAACAGCAGTGGAGGGAAAATCATTGGTTGCTTCAAGCTCTCAAAAAAATGAATCAGTTATTGCACAGTACATACCTCACAGAGGTCAGTGTTTTAAGAAGCTAGTCTGAAGAAATATGTTATTTATAAGTGGATTAAATCTGGAAGTATTCAAGTTTTATAATTAATTCTACATAGGGAATCAATTGGAAAAATGTTAACATAGAAATAAATATTAGGTTACAAACTGCTTTTGAAAGTTTAGAAAATAGTCAGCAAAGTGCCTAAGTTTCTATATGTTTTAAAGAATATGCAGAGAAGATACACCTGGTACACTGTCTACAGTAGCCCCACTCAGCAGCAAGTGTCTTCTGAAGCACAAGTAACTTCTCCACAGTGTACATGGTCAACAGCTCCAAAATCACACAGCCAACAGGGTCCACGCTAACCTCACGAAAGAAAGAAAAATCACCATGAAACATCTTTCAAACACTATTTTTCCATTTTCATTAATATAAAGAGAATAGATTTCACATTTCATAGATAGAATTTCAAGATGACCATACCTCTTTCCCTTCCTTAAGCCCTCCTCCTTTTTCCCTTTCTTTTTTTCCTTTAATTTTTGCAATAAGATTCTTTTGTATTTCACAGTTTTGAGAAAGCACAATGGTATTTTCCACCATATCTTCCCCTCGTCCTTTTCTTATTTTTCCTTTAACTTTCACAAAGAAATACTTTCAAATTTCTTGATAACCACAAGCCTAACCCTACGCTAAATAAAGAATTCAACAAGCAGTAGAAAAACCACTGTTCTTTAAGAGTATAACATAGGGGTATAAGCAATAATTCAATCTCAAAATGTCAATTACAGTCATATACATTATAAACACTATTGTTACAAAAATTTTTAAAGGGAGACAAGAATTTTATCCAAATATATACACAAGTAAACATAATCTTCCTGTGATCTCTATTCATTTTCCTGAGTGTTAATGCTTTTATCAATGTCTTTGAAAGAATATCAGTTGCTTTATGATGTAATTTATCAAAATATTTTTCCTCATTTTCTATAGTAGCAATTACATCCTACGTGGCAAATAATATTTTTGCTCTTGATATTTTGTTGAATGGATATTTTGGTTCTATTAAAGATATTATTACACTGAAGTATGTTATTAGTTTTTGTATTTACCAAGTATTACTATTAATATATAATTTATAAAATGTATTACATTATGAGATAAAATAATAGTAATTCATTTTAGTAAGTAAAATATAAAACTGTTTTTATAAGTTATGATTAGAAATGGATCTGTGCAGTATGCTTCTTTAAAAAACAAATTACTAGGAAAGACAGTAAGAACTTGATTAATTCTGAAAATTTTTTTCCATAAACCATTCATCTGAAATATCATTATAATTAGTTTGCAGGTCCATTTCAGATTTACTTATCAAAATAATAAATCTTTTAAATAAAATTATATAATATGGATAAATCTTTAGAGATTTAAAAGTATTTAATTAGTATACCCTACCCTTGTGTGAGGTCTTCACACTATAGGATAACATACATATATTTTAGAAATCAAATAAACAGACCTATATACTAAGACAACAAAGAATTAAAAACTAAATACTAACTTACATATTGCTAAACAAAGAAATTCAGAAGAATTTACCTATAATTCCATTTAATGACTATCTTGTTTAGAATTAGATGCTTTACTTGAAGATACTGCTGCCAAAAGTCCGCTTACAATTTCCCGTCTGATTTCCCCAACAATAGACTCTTTAATCTAGAATGGAAAAAGAGAAAAATAAGCATTTAACAATATGACCATAATTCATGTTTTTTTATTTTTTATTTTTTGACAGGCAGAGTGACAGTGAGAGACAGAGAGAGAGAGAAAGGTCTTCCTTTGCCGTTGGTTCACCCTCCAATGGCCGCTGTGGCCGGCACGCTGCGGCCGGCGCACCGTGCTGATCCGATGGCAGGAGCCAGGTACTTATCCTGGTCTCCCATGGGGTGCAGGGCCCAAGCACTTGGGCCATCCTCCACTGTACTCCCTGGCCACAGCAGAGAGCTGGCCTGGAAGAGGGCCAACCAGGACAGAATCCGGCGCCCCGACCGGGACTAGAACCTGGTGTGCCAGCGCTGCAAGGTGGAGGATTAGCCTAGTGAGCCGCGGCACCAGCCAATTCATGTTTTTTTGTTTTCAAAAACATGAATAGCATTTAATTCTTGTAATAAGCTACAACATAGACAAAATCACAATCTCCATACAAGACAAAGGGAAACTGGAGACTCAAATCCATCAGATTTGCTTCAATCTGACTATACAGATTATGCAGATTATGCTCAGACCTAGATCATATTCTGAGGTCTGGGTCTAGGATAACTCTACCAACTACATTAATAAATATCATAATCCTAAAATTGACGGCTTTGGAAAACTTGGTGATAAATTGTTTCATGAGATAAAATAATTTTGGAGGACTGAGTTAGGTTTACTTTATGTTTTTATTAATGTCTACCTTGCAAAATAATCAAAAAGTGCTCTTGTTACTAAGACAAAACAAAACAACTCAACAGTGGCAAACGAAAATACAGGCATATTTGCTTGTTTATAGCAATTTTTAGATAGTAGAAATGTGAGAATGCAGCAAGAGCATGTTGGATGAGAGAGCAGAATGGAGCCTTGCAGAAAAGACAGTTCCCATAGGGAGTAGAATGAAATCCACTAGGAGGGTACGGGTAAATAGAAAGTGTACTGTGAGTGACTTCAAGGAGGGGACCAGGTCTGATTAGTTAATGTATCCTAAGCTAAATGTCCAATCAAAGAGAGATCAGGAGAACACAAGAATGAGAGCAAGGCAGGAAGAGAAAACAGAAAAACAAATGACTACACTTAGATCTCTATTGAAAATTATAAAATGGAGTGCTGGCAGGAGGGAGGGTAACGTGGAAAGTATCACTATGTTCCTAAATTTGTATACATAAAATACATGAACCCAGTGTAACTTAAAGAAAATGACAAAATGTCTTTAGTAATTTATTGGAAAAACAAAGGCATGAACAAATAAATTAGTTCTAAAGTCTCATATACCACAGAGACACTGGAAGGATGAGAAGTGAGAAAACTCTACTGCGATAGATGGTAAGATTCCCTTCAAACACAATTTCCAAAGAGCAGTGTAAACTAAAGACAGACACTTGAGATTAAGAAAGGAATGTTCACTGGCAATCTGAAGGGTAGGGCAACACATACCATTAACATGCATCTACGGAGCACCTGCTGCATGGCAACCCATTATATTAATGGTTCCCCAAAAGAAGGATCAATATGAACACATGGGCAAGCTGTGTTTTTACCAAAATACAAGTTTAAAACATGTCAGATGAACTGGAATAAAGACTCTAGTAGGCATGAACCAAGCACAGGAAGTTCCATAAACAAAGAACTCTCTAAACATGAAGCAATCTATGTTTACTCTTTGAGATTTAATTCTGTTGAATTTGCTGCTGTGGGTACATGTTCATTCATTTTATTAAGAAATGTTTTATTTATACTCATATAGACATTTTTAAAGCAACTGTAAACAGTCTCAAACTGCTGATCACATACATCGCAGATGACTCTGGCAAAGTCTATAGACAGTGTACTTTTTTCTACAGCAACATATACAATCTGCACAGAACAAGGCTAGCTGTAGGAGGACAAAAGTTTAGTTACTGAATGAGCAAATTAAATATTTGTCTGTAAGGACTTTCTCTCAATGCTCTTCTTCCAAAGAAGTAATAACACATCATAAACAATGAAATCACTCTTTTTAAAAACCTCACATGTGGTGCAATGATGAAAACAAAGCCCTGGCAGACATCATTGTTTTCATGCACCCACAAGTGCAGTAAGAAAGCTTCCCTGAAAGTGCCTGCCAAACCTGCTTAATCCTCACCTGCAAAACTGTTCAACCCAAGATTAAATCCTGTCTTCCTGAATGGTAGCTTTGTTAATGAGGCCAGGGACTCAACATTTACTGAGAAGATAGAATTTTATTTTCTTAACAGCTGATAGACTAACTTTGGGGAAAAAATAATTGAATTCAGTACTGTATGCATTTAAGTAAAAAGATTACCAATTTGAAATGCAGGTGAATCTGAATTTTAAATATTTTGCAAACAAATATTAACAAAAAAATCACTGTAATTGCACTGACAACATTAAAACAAATTATTTTTAAAAGTTTTAACCAGAGGACAGGCGTTGTTGTGCAGGGGTTTAAGCCCTTAGAATGCCCATGTTCCCTACTGGAGTACCTGGTTCGAATCCCAGCTACACTGAGCTTACAATCAGGCTTCCTGCTATTGTGCCTTAGAGGTAGCAGACAATATAATGGAAGTGCTTTTGACTTTTACCAAAATGGGAGACCTGGATGGAGACCTGGCATCCTGGCTTCAGCCTGGTCTACTTCTAGCTACTGTAGGAATTTGGGAAGTGAACCAGCAGATGGAAGATCTTTCTTTCACTCTGTCTTTTCCTCACTGTCACTTTGCCTTTCAAAAATATAAATGAACCTTAAAAAATAAAATTAAAACCAGCTTTTAAAGTACTTCAAAAGAATATGTTTTCCTAAGTACATCAATATTTCTCTTATGCTTTCTTTGATCTGTTTTGCTTGGTAAGGCTTTCCTTATAGGTAGCTAAAGTGCAAATGTTGGGCCGGGGCTGCAGCACCAGCTTCCCATATAGGCAGCTGGTTCAAGCCCCAGCACTTCCAATCCAGCTTCATGCTAATATGCCTGGGAAAGCAACAGATGATGGCCCAAAGTGCTTGGACCCTTGCACCCACCCACATGTGAGACCCAGAAGAAGCTCCTGGCTCCTGCCTCTGCCTGGCCCAGCCCCAGTCACTGCGGCCATTTGCGGAGTGAACCAGCGTATGGAAGACCTCTCTCTGTCTTTACCTCTCTCTGTAACTCTACCTTTCAATAAAATAAATCTTTAAAAAAAAAAAAAGAGTAAATGTTAAGCCTACGTTCCTCTAAAACATGCCAAATTCTGAATTAGCTTCTAATTAACAGGTTTAGTAACAAATTCTGAGAAAATTTTCCAAAAATTTGCTTGGCATGTCAGATTGAATATCTGAAATCATAAAATCTTTCATATTTAAGGGGCTGTCCTTACAAATGATTAAGTAATTCTCTATGATCAAGGCAGAGTAATGAGAACTGCCTCTTTTCTTGCTATGTTCTGTTGGCCAAAAAAACAAATGTTCTGGCCTAAAGTGAATGTTTTATTCCTAAGAAACTAACTAAAACATATACCAGGCCATCAAAACTTTAAAAATGAAGACTCAAGTGTACATAAATGGAGTATTTAAGAGAAAGATGCAACACAAAATCAACTATTACAGAAAAACTCTCAAACCAAAACAAGTTAAGGAGAATAAAAATATCAAATTTCAAGGAAAAAAATGACCTTAAAACTTAGTTCCCCAGTTAGTTGGGATATGTAGTACGAAGAAGAACTCAAATATTTCAGTCAAAAATTGGTCTTTGATATAAAACATATGAACAGGAATGGATTACCAATCATTGGCACACCTACTGAGTATAGTAGATATACAGAGTTAGGTACTAGCCATCCACAACTAACTGCGAAAACATAATTACATTTGTAGGACCAATAAATTCATAGACTTCAGACCTTTTAAATTTTCAGTTGGTGGACTCACAGCATGAAAATAAATGATAGGCTGTCTTCTGCCATAATGCTTGTTTTGAAAATGTGAACTTGCTATGAATGAAATACTAGCAAACAATTTGCTTACAATGAAAATTTCACTTCTATTCATGTGCAATTTCACCCACAAGATGCTTTGGATGAACAGAGATAAGTGAACCTAGGAACACAGTAACACAATGCATACACTATAAATATCTACCAGTTACCCTGGTTCTCTGTTTTCAGCCTATATCTATCCACATCTGGGAGTAAAACTTTCTGTGAGTTTCACATCACTGTCTTTCCACTCCTTCACAATAACTCACAAGCTGCCACCTTTGAAAGCCAATTCCTCAAGCAAGCTTTAGGTTGTTTTCAAAGCAAAACACTATGTTCATTATAGTATATACATATGTCCTTATCATTTGACATGTATAAACCTGTATTACTGGTTTTATTAATAAGGTTTCTATCTTCTACCATTTTAATCTGTCACTAACAAGGTTTTGAGTGTTATGCCTCTAAGGCTATTTTCTACATAAGTCCTGTGGTTTTTATTTTATGAAGTTGCACAGAAGAGAGATTTTTCAGGATTTCACATATCCCACTATGGCAGAAGTGACTATGCCTATTTTTAATATATTTCTCAAACTACAATCACTTAGCTAATAACCATGAACTAACCTCTGAACTCTGAGGATCAATAGCCCATTTGAGAGAAGGTTTTGGTCTTCTGCCACCATCCTTGACCCATAACCACTAGAAATTTATTCTACGTTACAAATTAATTCTGAAAACACACTAGGTTTACATTGCTAAATACATTAGAATGAGTTTAAAAACAGGGAGCTACTGACCCTATTTTCTCTGGTTCATGTTGGCCTTTTTTTTTTTTTTTTTTTAAGACAGGCAGAGTGGATAGTGAGAGAGAGAGACAGAGAGAAAGGTCTTCCTTTGCCGTTGGTTCACCCTCCAATGGCCGCCGCGGCCGGCGCACTGCAGCCGGCGCACCGCGCCAATCCGATGGCAGGAGCCAGGTGCTTATCCTGGTCTCCCATGGGGTGCAGGGCCCAAGCACTTGGGCCATCCTCCACTGTACTCCCTGGCCACAGCAGAGAGCTGGCCTGGAAGAGGGGCAACCGGGACAGAATCCTGCGCCCCGACCGGGACTAGAACCCGGTGTGCCAGTGCCGCAGGCAGAGGATTAGCTTATTGAGCCGCGGCGCCGGCCCATGTTGGCCTTTTATATTTTCAAAATCCTTAGCTCTTGAATACTTTTTACTAAATATTTGTCTATATAGTTTTTATTGAGTTAGTCTTGCTTACCTTCCTACCAGATTTTAAAGATAAATATTTTATATTTTAGTATTTTTTTTGTTATTCACAAACATTTAGACATCTATGAAATAACTTTTTTTAATGGACAGGATAGGCTTCTTTTTAGCCAACAGAAAGAATGAGACTTTCTCATCCTGAGTGTCAGTATATTGCTTGAAAAAAACTATAGATAAGTAGGGTTCTTCTTCAGTTACTCTTAAGAACTATTAAGACAAAGAAATATAATGGAAGAAATCCAATATATTTAACTTTTATCCTATGTATTGCTATTAGATTTCACAATTAAAATGAAAATGTGATTCGAGAAAAAAAGGTAGAGAAGTCACTGTAAAAGTACATCTAAATAACTATATTCCTAAAGCTGTACATATGAAATTTGTATTCCTTAAAAAATAAATTTTAAAAATAAATAAATAAATCTTGATGTGAATGGAATGGGAGAGGGAGCGGGAGATGGGAGGGGTGCGGGTGGGAGGGAAGTTATGGGGGGGGGGAACATTGTAATCCATAAACTGTACTTTGGAAATTTATATTTACTAAATAAAAGTTTAAAAAAAAACAAATAAATAAAATCTACAAAAATAAATAAATAAATAAATAAATGTAAAAAAAAACGTGTCTAAGAGGGTCAACCTTTTTAATTGATGTATGCTATTCCTTCCTATTCTCTGGTATTAGAGCTAAAAATAGGCATTTTACTAATTTTTTCAACTGACATTTGACCTTGAACCATTAACTATCATAATTTTTGGCAGTCACTTTGGTAACTTAGCATTTTAAAGATTCAAATTTTCCCATTGCTATCAGTCAGAGCAAAGTCTTTTCACACTGTATGTCAATCTGAATAATTCATGTAATTTCCCTACTTCTCCACCCTCTAACCAAACAGATCAAAACTATTATACTTATTAAAATCACAAACACTATTTTCTCATGTCAACTGAAATGAAAGTGATGGTTTTTAATCTTGTATCAGATCTAAGTTTTTTATTATTATTATTATTTTGACAGGCAGAGTTAGACAGTGAGAGAGAGAGAGAGAGAGAGACAGAGAGAGAGAAAGGTCTTCCTTCCATTGGTTCACTCCCCAAATGGCCGCTACGGCCAGCGCAGTGTGCCGATCTGAAGCCAGGAGCCAGGTGCTTCCTCCTGGTCTCCCATGAGGGTGCAGGGCCCAAGCACTTGGGCCATCCTCCACTGCCTTCCTGGGCCACAGCAAGAGAGCTGGACTGGAAGAGGAGCAACCAGGACAGAATCAGCACCCCAACCGGGACTAGAACCCGGGGTGCCGGCGCCGCAGGCAGAGGATTAGCCAAGTGAGCCGCAGCGCCGGTCAGATTCAAGTTTTAAACTCTCAGTTTTACAGATGTGGAAATAAAAAATCCAAACAGTTTTTAATGTGTTCATCTATGTTTAACTTTGCACAGACAATTGCAATTATTTCACACTGAGGTATGGAATTTGCAAAAACACCATTATAAACATGTCTCCCCAGACACGAACTGGATCAGTGAGGAAGTTAATTTAAAAATACTCAGAAAATTATTGAATATGGTGAATCGAAAGAGTATCTTATAAATAATAAATGTTCAAATAAAAGTTCCTCTTACATCAGTCTCCAAATAAAAGAATTAAGTTCAGAGTTTTACCCACCTCCCGTATAACTTGCTGCAATTCATCCTGCTCTACATTTTTATGCACTTCCTCAGCAGCTGGCCTCGACGGGAGTTGTCCTTGCTCTTCTTCCACTTCAGATTTAATTCCAACAACTTCTGAGATTTCTTCAGCTGCTCCAATTTCCTCGGAAGTTTCCAGGTCTGGTGGCGTCTGCACAGAACCTGTTCTAGAGGGAGCAGTGGGTGTTAAGGCCACTGATGCTCGGAAGACTTTCTTTCTTGCCACTAACTGAGTTTTAGGTCTGCCTACTGAGTCACTAGGAGGTATTGCAATTCTTCTGTGAGCATGAGAGGGACCAGAACACACAGAAGATGACTCTGATGTTGCTTGAGAAAAAACAGATTCTGAGCTTTCTCCAGGAGGAAGTTCAAATCCCATTTCTGCAAGCCCCAGGCCCAATTCAGACTTCAGGTATGACTGTTCCCGTATCAGTTCAGTGACCTGGAGATAAGAAAATGTGTTACTTTTCTCTCCTAAACTAAGCTTGGTAGTTAAAAAGAAAGTTAAAATTCTGTGATGATTGTGAAAAATCATATAACTTATACAATTCTATTAATTAACTGAACTACCGTATCTCACTTATGAAACAGCATGGAAGATGTAATTTCATAATGAATTTAAACAATAAAATAGGTAACTAGAATACATAATGGGACAAAATTTTATACGGTAGCAGGAATGGCCCAAATTACTTGTCAGGAAGAGTAAGTAGCAAAAAACAAAATAGTTACTCTTAATGTTTTTGTACCTAAATGAATCAACTTGTCTAAAATACAACAAAAATCAGACTTCTTGTTCATAAAATTAGCTACATTACAGATCCAACTTCCTAAAGGATCTTGGGTTAGACTGTGAAAGCACATTTGCACTAGACTACAAATAAAATACGTTTTATGATGAATTTATCTCCTGTAGCTAATAAAGATAAAACACTATGCAACTAAGCTAGCTCTCCAGTGAGCTGAGATGACAACATACTTCACAACTGCCACATTCACTTCCAATCAATTCAAGTAACTCATCACAATCTGCATGAAAATATACACACATCTTAATTACTGGATAATGCAATAGAAAAATTCTGCATTTATGAAAAGTACAGCATTCCCTTCCCCAACGACTGAAAAAGAGAAAGGCTTACTGGTTCCATTACATTCAATGGAGAAGGGCATGACAAGTTATCAGCACTTCTACTGCCACACATTCCCTGAAAAAGAATAATATATGTATGTATATATATATTTTTTTCCACAATGTAAGCATTTTATGAGAAAATTTAACTGGCTAATTATTGCCCTGAAGCATCCCTTTATGTCACCCTCAGGTGTCATGGAATGCTACAAAAGGTGTTGTTATGGTTGAAAGCTGACACCATAAGATGCTCAGATGTTCTGATTCTCTGCTGTCACCAACAAACACTTCTCAAATTGATGGATCAAAATTACAGAAAAATTATATTCATTAATGTAATAGAAGAGTCATACTCTATGTGATACATATATGTGTGTATGTATATCATATTCTACTTTCTCTATATTTTATATTCACATGTGTTCATAGGACATATGTGGAATATTACGAAAAAATTATGCATGTATTTCATTTTTTACATCAAAATAAACATCTTCAAGAACTTCCAAGAACTTTTTAAAGTACTTTCATACCTGTGTATGTATATATATATTCATTTATTTTTAACAAAATCATTATGTTGTTAAAGTAAAAAAGAGAAAAATTCATGATTTCAATATTTGAAACCAACATATTCCACGACTTCAAAAATACCAGAAAAATAAGAACACAACAAGGAAGTTCAAATTTCATGGAAAGGAACATTAGAATGAAAAATAGTACAAAGTCAAATAACGTTTCTTTTTATAATCTTGGTTATCAACATGTTTTCTATCTAAACAACTCATTTAATTCCTTACAAGAACATAAAGTGTGAAAAAGAATCCAGAATGAAAAGCAAATGCTTAATGGGAGTAGCTATTTATTTAAAACCAAGAAAGGAAAAATAAAGGCTAAGTAACATACTTCTACTCTGCAGTTATATGTAATAATTAAATCATTCATAAATCCACTATCAATTTCCTTAAAAGATCATAAACTTCTATACTGATCATTTTCCTAATTATTAGCTAGCATTAAAAATTTTTCTGTATATTTCTAAATATAACAATTACTTAAGCAAAGTATCACAGCTCGAACAGTCAACTGATCTGTAGGAAAACTCTTTAAACATCTTGCGTGCACCTAATGTAATTCAGAAAATGGCGGAAAATAAAGCAACTTCTCCTCAATTACTTGGCACATCCTATATGAATCTGCTGCAAGCTCCTGTCAAGCCCCAAGGTGCATGCATACCACAAGTGCCGAGGAGCGGAAAGGTGAGGACACCCGCACTGCGCGCAGCTGCTCATCCAGGCCCAGCAGGCGCTCCTCCAGCTGCAGTTCCAGCTCCTGAAGCTCCATACGAACTGAATTTCGCAAACTTTGGAGCTGATCAACTTCATACCTACAGTACATGGGGAGACACAAAGTTTGGAAAAAGCAGTTTAGGGATTCCACTTCACAACTCTTTTGAGAAGTACTATAAGCTAACAAAAGGTAATAAAATTACAAGTTCTATATAAAGGATCACAGCCATTTCTTCCTCTATTCTCTTACAAACATCCCAAACACTGAGAATCAATCACCAGGTTACAATCACTATCTTGCTTAATACACTAAGGCAAAAAAGTCTAGTGTAACACCAGGTATGCCTCATTTTGTCTACACTGGTTCACAAAGCAGAAAATACACAGCAACAGAAATAAAACTCAAGTTTTAAAAACTGCCAAGTCAGGGCCACTGCTGTGGCTCAGTGGGTTAAAGCCGCAGCCTGCAGTGCTGTCATTCCATATGTATGCAAGTTCAAGTCCCAGCTGCTCCACTTCTCATCTAGCTCCTGCTAAAGCGCCTGGGAAGGCAGCAGAGGAGGCACAAGTCCTTGGGCCCTGCACCCATGTGAGAGACCTGGAAGAAGCTCCTGGCATCAGTCTGGCCCAGTCCTGGCCATTGCAGCCCTTTGGGGAGTGAACAAGTGGATGGAAGGTCTCCCCCCAACCCCCCACCCCATAACTCTGCCTCTCAAATAAACAAATCAGTCTTTGAAAATCCTTTGAATGAAAATTTTTTTTTGACTTGTTGGAACAAAATGAACTTCTACCTTTCCTCCTCAGTCATATGATGATAAACCATGGATTGCTGACGCAGCATTGCCAACTCTAAATCCATCATTTGTGTTCTAAACAAATTCAGGCTCCGCCTCATTACTTGGAGCTCCTGCAAAGTATTCTAGAATGCAATACAACAAAATTATATTTCAAATCATACAAAGTATTTTGTAATACAAAGATTTAAAAAAGAACTTACTTCATAAAGAGGTAGAACAGATGATTTCTGAGTACTATATGGAGCAGCAACAAAATCAGGTCCTCTCATCATAGGGTACTTCAAAAAAAGGGAAAGTAGGATTAAAACCTTGTGTTTACGCTACTATCTCCAAATTAAGGTTTTAAAAAGATAGAATTTGGGGGCTACATATGTTTCTCTTGAGGACAGAAAGAAAAAATCCTTCACATTGTAAATAAGAACCAAAGTAATCATTCCCTAATGCTCTACCAATTATTACTCCTAGATGTTTCAGGTATAAGTCAATGTACTTCAAATAAGGAAGGGGAAAAGGCACAGCTCAGCTCATATCTGTCTTACAGGACTTTGTTCTTGCTGTGTGAAATAAAAAAAAATGCCACTATGAGATTATAGTGACCATTGGCTCGGCAGGAAACAAGTAATCATCACACTTTCTCTTGGATATTTGAGCTTTTGTTTTATTATATTATTTTAGGCAGTGATAATAAAAGACATACCCCAACTTTAAGTGTTCTTACAGTGCAAAAACAAAAAAAGAGAAATTTAGACATTATAATGTTTGGAATGGGGGAATGTCACGAGGGACACAAACACTAATTCAGACTAGGTAAGCTTTCCCAACAGTAGTAACAACTGGGCTGAGCCTTACCAGTGACTATAACTTTGTCTTGCAAAGAGAGGCAAGGGTGGGGCATTCTAGGTTTAAAACAAGGGGGCAGGTGCATATATAGAAAAATAAACAACCACGCAGAACCCTGCGTGCAATCCAATAGAAGCACACACCTATGGAATGCGACTGGAGTGACAGAGGCCAGTTAATGAAAAACATCTGTCTCTGAGGGTGAGGGGATTTATGAGCTGAGTTACATGGAACAGCCAAGAGAAAGAGACCACAGCTAGAGCAGAAGTATAAACTGGCTGAGAAAGAAGAGCACACCATGAGGGTGCAGGTGGGCAGGGGCCTGGAAATCCCCAGCCTCACATAATTACTGCTGAGAGGGTAAGTAGCGCAGTCACAGACAACCATATTTTGTAAGGAGGAAGAAACGCCCACAGTTTGGTTAGACTGCAAACCATTGTGAGAACCCTGTCATGAGGATAAGACCTGTATTTCTGGTGTATCTTACTATAACTTGAGAAGTTACAATTTCACTTTTTAACTTTCAAAGTGGCTTCCTGCCTACTACTTCATGATGAGGGGACTGCAGGCATCACAGGCCTCCCAACTCTTAACGACACTCTTGTCATTATATTACATTATCATTTTCTTCATTACCTCAGTGTCCTACTTAAGTTCAGAGAGAGATCTAGAAAGGAAATGTGAAAGATAAACCTGAAGACACCTTATTTTCAAGGCTTTTTTAAAAAAAAAAAATCACTTCCAGTCCACTAACAAATTATTTATTATTATTATTAATAGATCATTTTAATTCAAATCCACACTTTACCTGATTTTTATTGGAGTAGTTCCAGTCTTTGGGCCCAGTGGAAGTAGACTAATTCTGTGCCAGGAGACCAGCAGTAGGTGAAGGGGAAAGCTTAGTCAGAGAGCTATGAGTAGAATCAGAACACGGGGCCACCAATGCCAACAGGAAGAAAACTTAGAAAAGGAAGAGGTGGTCAGCACATAAGAAAGGCAGAGAAAAAGGCAGAAAGGACTTTGAAAGGGAAGATTTCAACAACAGGGATGACTTGACAAAGTTTCTAGACTAACACAAAGTCAACGGAGCCTAGGCTGAAAAAGAAAGCACACCTATTGTGCAAAATCCCTCCCTGAGCAAGGGAAGGAGACTACGAGCAAGGGAAGGAGCTTTTCCCATGAGACAGGAGGGAAGCGTCCGGAGGAGGGCAGGTCCAGCTAAGTTCTAGGCACGGAAGAAAATAAAGCTAGGGTCCTTCATGGCAGATGGGCCTCTCAACTCCTCAGTGAATTAAGATGAAGTTAATGAAGATACACTTTTTCTCATACCTGGGAAAGATTCTGCAGTGAGTTCCTAATATCATGCAACACTCTTCGCAGTTGCATTTCGATGGCAGAAGGAGGATTCGCAGAGCACACTCGGTGAGGGTAGGCAGCATGTCTTTGTGAGTAAGGACACCCGAAAGGGCAAGTGAAGGCACTACAGGTGGCACCTGAGATGTTGGGAACACTGTGAGTGCTCAGAGTTCTCATGTGCTCACACAGGGGCCTCTCCTGCCACTCTGAGTGCACAGAGTGAAGGGAGCAGGTGGACTGAGAGATGGGTGCTGGAGCAAAGTGTAAACCAGCAGCAGTCCTTCTAGGATGGCATTCCTCCAGCTGGGTCATCTCACTAGGGGCAGCTTCTTCTTTCTTCACACATGATGGAGAGATGAAAATGGTGGATTTAACTAAAGACTGACCGTCACGCTCAACAGCCCCTGTTTCCAATTCCTGCTCGTCTTCAGGTGTGTACTTATAGGTGAAGGAAGGTGGGCTGCATCTAGTCTCTTTTCCAGGAGACAACCGGACATTGACAGAGGACACAACCCTAACTGGGCTCAGTAACGTGGTTGGTAAAGACTGAGACCTCCTCAGAGGATAGCCAGCTTTTGCAAATAAATATTTTTGTTTTAACAGATCCTTTGATTTTATGAGGCTACGCCCTACCCTTTGATTAGACAGACTGCAAACCTTCATTTGAGCTCTCTGCAAGGCTGTATGAACTCTGTCCACAGAAGAGGGAGGTTCCACCTTATTTTCAGAGCTCATCTCACTGCATGTAGTAGCTTCAATAGATGCCAGTGATTTCAGGATATGGTGTGTGGTATACTGAGTGAATTCACATTCACTGCTTTTATCCAAATCACTTTCAGCACTGGCTTCCCTCGGCAACTCTACTGTCTGTGCTGGAGACAAATCCTCTTCAATTTCAGTGACGTGATCCCCTGGGCTGCAGGTGGACTGTTTGTTTTCTGTGTCTTCAACAGTCTCATGCTGAGCCAAATCCTGGCCATCTGACTGCCTTTTGTCAGCTTTTGGTGCAGCCTTCACTCTTCCTTTCTGAAGAAGGCTGAGAGACTCCTCCTCTGATTCATTAAAATAAGGTTGATCTTGTGCTGTTGGTGTAACAAGGTCTTCACCAAATGATGTGACTGTTGTCTCACTGTCACAACTATCAGCGCTACTCCCCATGGCTTGCAAGGACTCATGAACCTGTGAAAGGATGAAGAGTAGGAAGTATCATTAACAAAATGCCAAACAGATGGGATGCTTCTACACCTTGACAGTCTCCCACCTCTCTTGTGGCCCTAGTGCTGCTTCTAACAACTTTCTTTTTCCCCATTCTCTCACAAAGATTATTTCATATCTTCACTATTTTCCTTAAATTCCCTTTCAATCACTCTCTTCCTTTTCTTTCAACGTGACACAAACTCACAGACAAAACAGACAAAAATTTCTTAACATTCTACCACAACACCTGTCAGTATCCTCTTTAACTGCTGATCAATCCCTCCTTCTCTCCATTCTGAAAGGAAACTGTGTCCCTGTTTTCAAAGCTAATCCCTCCAACCTATGTTTCTGCCTGCATCCTTCCCATGAACAATTACTTCTCCAGTTTCTTTGCAGACTTCCCTGGACCAAACTCTCCTTGTCTTACAGTCCCTTCCCTTAGGTGCACAATTTCACTCAGGCATTCTCTTGCTAATAAGACAAAACAAAAAAAAGCCTCTTTATTTGGAAAATAAAGATTTCTATCTCCTTATCCTCACCACTGGTTTACTCCCAAACATCCTTTGGCCTCATTTGCTGCCTCAAAATCACTCTCCCCAGTGCCACTCCCTGACAGCCACTACCTCATCTGCTCTCATGGTCACACCTTGCCCTTCTCCAAGTCTCTCCTCTATTTCTTGATTTTTCTGTCCACTTTATGATTGAGTCTCTTTACCTATGTCTTGTTTCTTCACCACTTAAATGTCAGGTTCCTAAATGCTTTCTGGGGTTCTCTTTTTCTCATTCCAATTTTCCTTAAAATTGGCTTATAGAAAAAAAAAAACAACACTTTTTCTATACTTCTGTGTACTCCTCATACAGGTTACATGTTCCTTGATGATGAAGATGGGCCTGCTTCCTGAGTTATATAACATAGTAGAGCATAAAAACCTAACATTCAGAATGCAATGGGTATATACTGACTGTTATTAAATAAGCAAAAAAAGGGGCTGGTGTTGTGGGATAATAGGTTAAGCCTCTGCCTGCAATGCTGGTATCCCACATGGGTGCTGGTTCAAGTACTGGCTGCTCACTTCCAAGCCAGCTCCCTACTAATGCACCTGGGAAAGCAGAGGAGGATGGCCCAAGTCCTTGGGCTCCTGCACCCTCATGGGAGACCCTGAAGAAGTTCCTGGCTCCTGGCTTTGACCTGGCCCAACCTTAGCCATTGAATCCATTTGGACAGTGAAACAACAGATGGAAGATATCTCTCTCCCTCTCTCTCTCTGTAACTCTGCCTTTCAAATAAATAAAATAAATCTTTTAAAAAATTAAGTATTGAGACAATATGTTAATTTTAAAAAATGAGAAAAGCAGATTAAACAAGTTGATTATCAAAAAAATTGTTTGATAGTGGTTCAAAATTAATGTTTTTCAATATTCAGAGAGATGGAGAACAAAATCTGAAATTTCTAGTCAATAATGTTTGAAAAATAAATATGAGATTCAGTTTTGAAATATAGTCATTATTAATAAAAATCACCTTTAAATGAGGAAGTTAATGATAGCACTTATTACAATAGAAAAATCTTACCTGAAGATGATTAAGTGAGAGACAATCTGTAGAATCTTCAGCAAAACCACTGCTATCAGAATGCTGACTTGCAGTACGTAATAGATGATCTATGAATAAAAAATGCAGTTACAAAACACTACTAAATGAAATTTCAATCAGGACAAAATTAATACAAATACATGATTCCCAACAGATAAATGATGCACAACATTGATTATATCTTAGAAAAGTATGTATTACTTTTGCAAAATTGTAGCTTTAAAACACAGGAGGTAACGATTTCAGACAAAACTAAATCAGATCTTCTATCAGAAACTCTCCATATTTAACTAATAGTAATTATAATGTACTGTGGCAAATCCAATTACTATCTTATCATTAGAGAATAATTGGCTGAAATAAAAGATGGCTATAATAAAAACAGAAGTCCAGAAATAAACTATTTCCATTATGTAAATATGTAAAGGTATGTAGGAGATAAAGTTATTGAAATATATAGTAGAAGCCGGCGCCACGGCTCACCAGGCTAATCCTCCACCTTGAGGCGCCAGCACACCGGGTTCTAGTCCCAGTCGGGGTGCCGGATTCTGTCCCGGTTGCCCCTCTTCCAGGCCAGCTCTCTGCTGTGGCCTGGGAGTGCAGTGGAGGATGGCCCAAGTGCTTGGGTCCTGCACCCCATGGGAGACCAGGAGAAGTACCTGGCTCCTGCCAACGGATCAGCGCGGTGCGCCGGCTGCAGCGGCCATTGGAGGGTGAACCAACGGCAAAGGAAGACCTTTCTCTCTGTCTCTCTTTCTCACTGTCTACTCTGCCTGTCAAAAAAAAATATATATAGTAGATAAAAACTGCTGCATCTTCCTAATAAGAAATTAACAATACAATTAAGGCCAATAAATTAAGCAATTTCAAATTCAAAAATATTTAAATATCTCTAAGGCATCAAATGATGCAAGCATTTTGAACTTATGAAATAATTCTTTCCTATTACATGAAAAACAGGTGCAATTGGCACATAATTGTTAATTAACACGTTAATTGTTTAACATTTTTCTGCTCACTTTTCTTCCTCAAAACTCTATTCCTGATGAATATACCTATAACCTAAAAAATGTTTTAAGTATGTTACAATGGCCAACTAAGCATAGGAAGCATAAGTTCCATCCATACCACAACCACCACAACAGGAGACCTTACTACATTCACTAAGTGAGATGCTTTATGAGGCACTAGCGTTATACAAAACTTCAAAAGTAACATGCTAATTCAACTGTTTACCAAATCCACATTCATGTAACATTTAAGTCATACAGTAACCAGAATCAGATGATTGATGATATCCAAAATCAAATAAAGGTAGCCTTGATTTTAAGAAATATACCACTATTGCCTCAGGTTCCATGGAAAGACTGTAACACTGTTTTGATATCAACAAAACGGTACAATGAAATATAAGAAATTACTCCATATCCTTAATAAACCTATGTATACTGAAATAACTGTTACACTAAATTATAATAAACTGTTACCATACTAACTTGGCATTATATTAATTAGAAAATGATAACACCTTATCTCATAGTCATTATCAATGTAATTAAACGTTTGCATGTCTTTTTTAAACAAACTACATTGTGAGCCTTTGAAAGCAGGAAACTAATTTACTCTTTGTATCTCAGTACCAAGATGAAGCGGACAATAAATAATGTTTGGTGAATGAATCAATTAGATGACAATTTCCTTAAGCAACAATAGAATTAAGCAGCCAATTAAATGATGTAGAAGGGAAATTGCCTATCTGATTGGGCAAAGGAAAGCCAGAGTGACCAACTTTGATTAGCTTCTCTCTGCTAAGAACTGTTTTTATGTGCAACACGGAACCACCTGTAACTCCCCACCTGAGTTCAAAGAGGTTAGGTCACAGTATGTGCTGCTTAAGTTTCAGAGCAGGTGCTGGGCAATGGAAAGAACAGAGGCCTGGGTGCAATTTCTGGCTCTGTTTCATGACCATAGCCAACACTTTTCTCCTTTGTGAAACAGGATGGTAATAATTCTGCTATCTAATAGGGCTATTCAAGTACCACATGGAAGCCTGGTCAAATTGTCTTGTATAAACTAAAAACTGCAATCTAGGTTATTTAGCCAAACATTCCTGTCTCAGACACACACACAAAAGGGGTTCTTCACCAAAAAAAAAAAAAAAAAAAAAATCTAAAAAGAATCTGATATACCCTGAAGATATAAGGTACTCTAGTTAAAATTAGGATGTTAAAGGTAACATTAAAATGGAAAAATGGCAAAATCTGGAAATTTTTATTTGTCCATTACTATCAAGAAACAAAACAACAATGTATTTTCTGCTAAAGAAAGTACTATGTCTTCTGTAGTAAGAAAAATGTTAACCTTCTTTCAACATACCTGCCATTAACTTGCAACAATTATTAAATTATAAACCCTTTCTCTGGGGTTCAGTATGTGAGGCCCAGGCTGGCCCTGAGATTAATTTTAAACTTTGAACTATTAAAATACTATGTCCATTTTTACTAAACTGATGAAGTGAATGTATTACCAGTGATTCTAAGTATGCAATGAAGATTAATCTAAGACACATAATACATAATCAAAATTTATTAAGCTACCTTCCAAAATGACTAAAACATTATGTTCTTTTCATTCACATACACAAAATCATTTTACTATTATAGAAATCTGACTCATAAAAATGTTAACACTTTTGCTTATGCCACCAGAAATAAAAGACCCAAAAGTGATAAGAAGAATGTGTACCAGATGTGTACCCAATTCACAAGTCATCTTTCCCATCATAGGAGCCTGCTCTTAAAAGACCTTCAAGAAATTTCACTGATGTATATCCTCTTGTGACACACAGAAAGGTGCTATTCCCAAGGTATCCTTTGTCCACAAATCTAAAGTAAAGACTCCTTTATTGCTGTGAACCCTGCCTTGCAGCTCAGAAACACTGACATACATTTATGGGCTTTCAAAAGGGGAAATTAAATATAAAAGTTCACTGTGTGTCTGACAGGAACTGTAGTGACCTTATGAGAGTAGTGTTGTTGTTCCTTAGTACCATACTGTAATAAAAGAAAAATTACATGCAAATTGACTCTTATGAAGTAATTTCAGAGATCAGGAGGGAACAAACATGCAATTTCCTATTCTAGGAACATACATATAACTCTGTTTAAAAAAAAAAAAAAACAGGGTGGTTCAGCATGTGTAAAGCTTTAAAAATAAACACCCTTACCTTCAGTGGTCATTTTAACTACTACTTCTCTTTCTCTAAATCTCAAAAGCTTTGTCAATTTAAAGGCCAGACATGTTCTTTTCTGGTTGCAAGTTAAAAGTGAAAAGGATGGATTCAAAGGTTCTTTGGTTGATAGTTAATAATTCAAGAGAAGAATGATACTTACAGCCACTCACCTTTGATCAGTAGCTTCAATTTAATTTAACTAGGTTTAATTATTTCTGAGAGACTGGTGTCTTTTGCCAGACACAATCACATTTTATACCTAGGAGCTATACAAGTGTTTGAATAATGAAAACCCAGAGATGGATAACACACATGTATCTTTCAATCAAAACGATGTAAAATATGGCCTTAATCTGTTGCTTTCTTTCCATTCCCTATAGCCCTCATGCAGAACTGAAACATATGTGGAGTACACAAAATTGTGTAACAAAGTCATTATAGGCTAAGCAAACTATTAGTTTGTGTGCATGAAAGTCTTCAAGGAACCAAACAATAAATGAAGCATGCCTCCTTGTGTTAATTTGCTATGCACCCTTACAGGGACTATGAACACTGACACATAAAACCATCCCTTTTTCAAAGTCAACCAAAAACACTCTGGCAATGTTTTCAGGAACTAGTGCATTTTCCTTTACGTACCTCTTTTTGACTTGGCAAGGCCTAGCTGGTAAGTGGCTGGAATGTGAGGAGCTTCTCCCTCTGTGCTTTGAACCTAAAGAAGAATGTTAAGTAGTTAAAAATAAAAGAATCTATGGCCAAGAATAACCTCTTGATAAATCAACGTACATAAAGAACATCAATGCATTTTATATTTAAAGACAATTTACTTCAAAATTATTAGAATGCCCCAGGACTCAATTTACTGATCTAATTTCCTTAACAATAGCAGTCAAATTAGTAGCTAGCAAAGGAAAATAACTGCATATATTAAACCCTCTAATTTTTTTAAAAAGTTGCTGTTGATGAAAAAGAGACCCATAAGAAAAACTTCTGTAAATGAAAACTTCAAATTAGTGTCAAAACCAAGAAAAAATGTAAACACAGCCTATGCAGCAGACTATGACTGACATACAGTTGAGGTAATTCCCAGACTTCCATCTTTGCAAATAGAAAATCTGTTCCCTTTGCAGAATTTTCAAAAATACCACAAATTTGCAGGTACTAAGAGCCACACACATGTAGGACTGCTTTGTTCTGATGTAAATGTTCTTTTAAGACCTAACTTGGGGCCGGCGCGGCTCACTAGGCTAATCCTCCGCCTTGTGGCGTCGGCACATCGGGTTCTAGTCCCGGTTGCCCCTCTTCCAGGCCAGCTCTCTGCTGTGGCCTGGGAGTGCAGTGGAGGATGGCCCAAGTGCTTGGGCCCTGCACCCCATGGGAGATCAGGAGAAGCACCTGGCTCCTGCCAACGGATCAGCGCGGTGCGCCGGCTGGAGTGACCATTGGAGGGTGAACCAACGGCAAAGGAAGACCTTTCTCTCTGTCTGTTTCTCTCTGTCCACTCTGCCTGTCAAAAAAAAAAAGACATAACTTGGGAACTTGGGAATTGTAAGGTTTTATTACAGAACTGAGACAATGGAAGATATTAACTATAAATCCTACATAAAATTCTGTTCAAAAAGGTACCATACCCACAAAAGCCATCTTTTTGTGCTTTTCTACCTATTCCATTTAAGAATTTTTAAATTCTTAGCCCCATATCACAGATATTCCAACTATTCTAAAACAACTGAACATTTGGGAACTGCACAAGTATACTAATTTCTGTCACTTTACCCTGCAATTAACACTTAAATATTAAATATCATCTTAGTGAAATAAGAAATCTAGCCAAAAGTTGGTTTTCACCCTTTCACAAAACCACAGAGCAAACAGCAAACACATTTTCAACACAACTCTGGTAGCTTTGAGTTATGAGTCTGTTTAAGGATTAAGAGAACCATTCCACTGATATAAAAGTGAAATAATATGAAAAAATTCCAAATACTAAAGATATTACACAACCTAAAAATTCCCCAGATTTGTGATATCTTTGTTCTATACAGTACCATGAATCTAAGCTTAAACATCTTTTAAACACTGAAAGCACACTAGTAATTTAAAACTATCACCTGTAAATCAGATAAATAAAGTTCTATTCTTTGTTATTATTTAAAAAGTTATAATATGTTCTTCAAAGCAACAGATGTAAGTTCAACAGGAAAACCATTGTTTTGAGTGCAAGGACACAAAATACATTTTCTTTTTATATGAAACAAATGGTCTATTATTAGCTGCTATTCAGACCCAAAGTACTTCAAAGAATATTCTATAAAATAATTATCAGCCAGATAAAAGCAAAAGTGTAACAGAAATTAAAATGTTGTTTTACTCATACTCTAAGAATTTCAGTTTAGGCACAGCCCTATGATACATCAAATTATAATTTCTCACTTTTCAGTGCAGATTATCACATATTCTACTTCTGCAGACTCAGGAAACAAATCATAAGATAGCACGACTTTAATGAACATGTTTCCTCAGCGTTCCATCCTTCATGATGCTCCTATTCTCTTTCTTTTCAATACAAACTCCTTAATTAATTTTGAGAAAGGGCATAGGGTAAAATTTCACCAATGAAACTTGAGAGGATCCTTCTGAGAAAAAACAGAGTACCCACTTGTTAAACGGAGAAACAGACATGCTAATGATAATGAGTGAATTTCTTAGCTTATTTCATTACTGATCAAAAATGTGTAAATGAATTAAAGTTGGGGTATACCACAGAGAATAATGAAACAAATACAGATTTTTATGGTAAGATTTTCCATATTTAATGGTTTAAAATGCTCAGCGGAACTCTCATTACATGCCACTGCACGTGGCCTTTTACTAAACAATTTACAAATGTAACTGAATTGAGTGATACATAAAGAGTGTTCATTATAATATTTTCTCTAAGCTTTGGGAAAGTTTGAAGCTTTTCATAATAAAAATGGAAGTGGCAGCTGTTTGGCCTAGTAGTTAAGAAGTCGGCTGGGAAGTGTACATTATAGACTGGAGTACCTGGGTTCCATACCTGACTAAGCTCCTGACTCCACTTTCCTAATGCAGACCCTGGGAGACAGCAGTGGTGGCCCAAGTAAATGCGTTGCTGACAACCACATGGGAGACCTGAATGGAGTTATTATGCCACCGCCACCATGAGAACTTGCAGAGTAAACCAGCATATGGGAGCATTCCTATTCTCTTCTTTTCTCTTTCAAATAAATATTTTTAATGGAAAAAATCCCACTAACCCAAAATTATAAAATCACTTGGTCTATTTTTCAATATAAAGATGAAGAAAAGAGCTTTAGAGTAAAAAGAAAAAATTTTTAGTTACTAAAAAACTAAAAAGTTTTTAGTTACTTTAAAAGTATTTTAATAAAAACTATCTGAATCAACGTCCTACTCATGACAGGCACCTACTCTGATTTTTTAACAGCTGTCCCCTTTATCTTGACTAAGATGCATCTTCCCAATATAATACCACTTCACTACATACTACAGAAGAGCCAAGTGTGGATATTCTAACTTAAATTACCCTTCCTTTAAGGTTTAAAGAGACACGGTATAGTACAGCTCTGATCATTGCAGAGATGTTGTATATAAAAATAATTTTAGGGGCTAGTGCTATGGCACAGCAGGTTGGGCCACCACTTTAATGCTGGCTTCCCATGTCAGATTGCTGGCTCAGGTCCTGATTGCTCTTCTTCCTATCCAGCTCTGTGCTGGTCCTCCTGGGAAGGCAGCAGATGATGGTCCAAGAGCTTGGGTCCCTACCACCCATGTGGAAAACCAGGATGGAGTTCCTGGAGCCTGGCGTCTGGCTCTGGCCTAGCCCAGTCCAGGACACTACATCCATTTGGGGATTGGGCTAGTAGACAGAAGATATCACTCTCTTCCTCTCTCTGTCACTATGCCTTTCAAAATAAACAAATCTTTTTAAAAAATTATTTTAAAATAAAATCAAAATTGGAGATTAAGAAATTCAAATTTAATTTTTAACGTCATCTCAAAAAATCTACGGCAGTATTTGGGGCTGTGCATCTGAAGGATTTAAATTTTGTTCAATGTCTGATAGTACCCAACCAATCTGACCTTTAGTTAAAAGCAGCCAGTCTGCAGAACGATCTGCACTCAAGCCTTATGTGTGGTGCTTCCTGGTTAAATGGCTTTTAGCAATTATCTGTGATAATTATTCCAATTGTCTTAACTGCAAAATAAAAACTATTTCACAGGTCTTCAGGATAATAAGTGACAGTTAGTGAAAGTATTTTTAAAACAGCATAGTAGAAAAGAAATAAAACAGGAGCTCCCTCTCTGTTCTCTGCGGCCAACACTCCCTGTGCCCTTTCCCCTGAAGCACTGACACTAAAGGAGATTTCACATTTCATAGACATATGTTGTGAGAGTCCTTGCTGTAGAGTAGGAATGCTTATCTGGAAAGGTAGAAAACAGGAAAATAAATTCAAAGCTCCCTTTCTGTATTTGTTTATCAGCCTATAGTGAATCATAAATGTTTATTTTAAAAAACCCCAAGATTTTCTACTCACATGTTTTATTTTGACTTAACATACTTTTTAAGAAATGTTGGCTTAAGGTATTTTAAATAAACAATAAACAAAATTCATTGGTTAACTGGGCTGTGCAGCGGCAGACATCTGCACTCACGTCACATGTTAAGAATGGATATTCCAGGGGCTGGCGCCTCGGCTCACTTGGCTGATCCTCTGCCGGCATCCCATATGGGCACCGGGTTCTAGTCCCGGTTGCTCCTCTTCCAGTCTAGCTCTCTGCTGTGGCCCAGGAGGGCAGTGGAGCATGGCTCAGATGCCTGGGCCCCTGCACCCGCATGGGAGATCAGGAAGAAACACCTGGCCCCTGGCTTCAGATCGGCACAGTGCCAGCCATAGCAGCCATTTGAGGAGTGAACCAACGGAAGGAAGACCTTTCTCTCTGTCTCTCTCTCTCTCTGTAACTCTGTCAAATAAATTTAAAAAAAGAGAAAAAAGAATAGATATTTCAGAGCAGACCTGCATTCAACATAAAGTTTGGAAGGCCAATTTAACTCTTTGTCAAACAGCTGATCGATCTGTGAATCTGTGATTATTTTAACTCAGGCCACTAAATAGAAAGTAATCTCATAATTTTAACAGCTAAAAATAAGTAATGAGGTAAATAAGTTAAATCAATAGTATGAAGACAGGATTAGAAAGTTACTAAAACTTTGGTAGCTTAAAAAGAATCAGTGTGTGGGGCTGGCGCTGTGGCGTACTGGGTAAAGCTGCTGCCTGCAGTGCCAGCATTCCATATGGGCGCTGGTTCGAGTCTCGGCTGCTCCACTTCCTATACAGCTCTCTATTATGGCCTGGGAAGGCAGTGGAAGATGCCCCAAGTCCTTGGGCCCCTGCACCCATGTGGGAGACCAGGAAGAAGCTCCTGGCTCTTGGCTTTGGATCAGCGCAGCTCCAGCAGTTGCGGCCAATTGGGGAGTGAATCATCAGATGGAGGACCTTTCTTTCTGCCTCACCTTCTCTCTCTGTGTAACTCTGGCTTTCAAATAAATAAATAAATCTTTTTTTTTTTTTTAAAGATTTTACAGACTGAGAGGGAGAGACAGACAGAAAGGTCTTCCTTCCATTGGTTCACTCCCCAAATTGTCGCCACGACCGGCGCTACACCGGTTCGAAGCCAGGAGCCAGGTGCTTCATCCTGGTCTCCCATGTGGGTGCAGGGTCTAAGCACTTGGGTCATCCTCCACTGCCTTCCCAGACCACAGCAGAGAGCTGGACTGGAAGAAGAGCAGCCAGGACTAGAACCCAGTGCCCATATGGGGTGCTGGCACCGCAGGTGGAGGATCAACCAAGTGAGTCACGGCGCCAGCCCAAATAAATAAATCTTTAAAAAAAAAAAAAAAAAGAATCTGTGTGTACATCCAACAGTTGTTATATTTAAATATAAATTCATTTACAGAGTAGAAAGATCACACAATAGAAATGTACAGCCACAAGTTAAATTTCTCCTTCCTCTAACACTGAGGTCTAAGAAGTTTGTCCTTTACGCTTAAAAGATAAATTATTGCTCATTAATTAGAATCATTTTGGCTTAACTGTGAATCATTCATACTACTAATTCATGGCTCCAGAAAATTACAATGTATTTAAGCCAGTCAAGAACATAAAAACTATTCAACAAGTCATCAAGAATTAGAAAACACAAGACTAGGGTTCTCCAATTTTTAGATACAGTAAAATTGCAAAATGCTTCTTATGAGACAACAAGATGTTTAATTGAAACTAGACTCTGCCCTTTTCCCCTCTTCTCTTTCTTTTTTCATCATAGTAGCCACTCTCATTCTCCTGGATTAGTCCTGTCAGCCATTTAGCTCTCTTTATATTTGAATATCTCCTCTGCTTGCTGCTGGTGACTGTCTGGTCTTACCTTCTGTCTCAGATTAGCCAGCTTCGTGCCCAGAGCCACGTCTGCACCATATTCTTCTTCCTAGTACCCCAAAGCAGCTGGCGTTCAGATAAGGTGTTTGAGAACTGGCTTACTGAGAGAAATAACTCTGATAATTGCTCAGTTTTTTTTTTTGTTTTGTTTTTTTACAGAACAAAGTTCACAACAGGAATCAAACCCCAACCAAAAGAAGTCCAAAAGAAGAAAAATAACATGCTATTTTAAATGGGATCTAAAAGCTTGCTTCAGTAAGATTGTTCTCTTCATTTGTCAGCATCATTCAAATCATGCTTGGGAGAAGAGGAAATTAAAGTAACACATTATTTCCTTTCTTTATCCATTGTTCTACAAGCTCTTTGTCAAGCTCCCGAAGGGATAAAAACACAATTCTAGGAGGTTTTATCGGTTATTTGAAAATATCTCAAGAATAAGGATGCATTATCCTTAGAATTACCCATATTTACAGTATAGTTATGGCTGACCATATATTCTTTAAAAAATCTGGCATTACTCTTCAACCACAAATACATATAATCTGTACTTAAAAGTGGGGAAGGGGGTCCCATCAATGCCACATTACTTTCTTCATTAGCTTCTTCTGCCAGCAGAGGGAGCAATAATATATATAATCTGCCAAACTAACCTACCACCAAAGTGCACCTAGCACTTTATAGAGGTTGAAAAGACTTTTTATGTACAGTATTTTAAACACATACAGATGACTGTAGCTTAGAACTCTGGAAATTAAAAAGAACTTGAACTCTGATTTACTTGAGATTACACATACAACAGTACTGTGTTGAGTTACCAATATCAGCTACCTAACAATCTGTTTTGATTTTCATACTTTGCTGCTAGTGTATAAAATACTATCCTATCTAATTTTCATAAAAAAGAGGCTCTAATAGAATGCAATAACTTATCCCTTAATTATGAATACTAGGACAAGTTTAGATCAAAACAAAGTCAAAAAGGAATCACATGGCAAAATGCAATAAAGGGAGGTTTTAGTGTAGTCATTATAAAATAGTCACCTTTCATACTTATTACAATGAGAAATAAATTATATTAGTAATTAAAGAAATAGGATAAATATAAAAGTCTATGAATAGAGGGGAAAAAAGCTCAAAAATGTAAAATATTCCAAAGGCCTAGTCTTACTCCCTTTTTATTTCACCCTGAAGTTGCAGTTAAAGCATTAAAAGAATATATTTAAAACTAAACAAAATGTGAATAGCTGTATTGATAATTGAAATTTTAAACAAATAAAAAAATTTCACTAATACAAGAGATAAACACCTAGGAGGACATTTATGGACACAATCAGTTACCGATTTTCCAATTCCCTAAACCAATGGCATGTGATTCTAGAACAACTGTGAACTATTACAAAAGCAAATCTTTCTGTAGTACATTATTTAAAAACTGCCCTAACTCTTCACCAGCACACACATGCCTCAGTTTCCTGATGTGTACCACGAGACCTTCACTGCCTGCATTGTAGACTTAAAGCACTTCAAGGGCCAGGGTGCCCACCACAGGACACCTGTTTGACAGATGTCAGGGTCCACTCTAAGCCATGTAGCTTTACCTCAGAAAGATCAGTCCTGCTCTTCCAAAAGCAGTTCTAGCTGAATCAAAGTAAGAGTCAGCTCTTGTTCAACTGCACATTTCTGTTAACCAGCACGCCTATCACAGTGTAAAAATTAAAAACAACCAAACATTGTCTTCTGGTCTTGCAGAAATGCTATTCAATGGCCTTTCAAACCTCCTTCCTAAGGTCCCCCATCCACCTCTACAGGGGCAGAAGCTTAACATCTTCAAGTTTTTCCCAGTCATAACTAACATCTATGCTCAAAGCACTCTACACTTATCCTGACCATTGAGATGTATTCAGAAAAGCTTGCCTAAAGGCACACAGGAACTCAGCAGGAAAGAATTCACAAGCCCATTTCATTTCAAGGCCTGCAGTTTTTAACTATTATGCAATACTGATTTGTATTTCAATATACTCTCAGGATTTCCTCGGGTGTCAAAATCTTACACGTGAGTGAGAAGAAGTTGAAATTCAAGCATCAGCTAGTGGATGACAGCACAGAAGAGGAGCTGAACAGTCCCACTATCTTGACATCACATAATCCTGTGACCCTGTGACCAATTCTTGGTTTTTGAAACAGAAACCTGGAAGCTCAAAAAGAGATGACTTTTTCTAGTACAAATCTATTAGCTACCCATCATTTTATAAATATTTTTGGGCCCTGTTTCTTCTAGCTCACTAAGGGAAGTTGGTCTCAGTAATTTTTTACCTACCTCCTCCATTTCAAAGGAGTCCTTCTGCTGTGTCAGTATGTTCCTTATGGAAGGGATTGTGAGCGGTGCACAGGGCTCTTTTTCAGGTGTGGACACATGAACGTTTCTCAGCTCACTGCTATTTTCTAACACACCGTGGCTGGATATGTTGATATCACTTCCTAAATCAGATTCTAGAAGGCCAGACACCTCACCCAGTTTACTCTTATGACTCTGAGTTTCTTTACTTGGTTCACTTTCAGTTTCTTGGTGAAAATTACCACTTGCTTCATCAGAAAGTCTATCAGTGTCTGCATTCTCTAGAGCACTTGCTGAACAACCTGAGCCTTCTTCTTTGACTGTAGCCAACATAGAAGACGAGTCTTTCTTCTTTATGATTTTTTGAGACTTTTGATCATTTTTATTGCCACTGTCTTCAATCATTGAAACATCTAGAATTTTTCCCTTTTCAATTGCTGGAGAAAGACTACTACTTTCTCCTTTCTCTGTTTTATCAACACACAAATTCAGTTTTGATAGTGTTTTGATTAAGCGATTTGCAGTGTTACTTCGAGTTAAAGGAGGAGGTGAGTCTGCCTCTTTGTTAGAGGTCACTGAGGACATACTTCCGATCCTCTGCAGGGGAGTCCCAGAGACTTGAGAATATAAAGAAGAAAACGCATTGGCCACAGTAGTAAGTACTTCGATTTGGCGAAAACGGCCTAAAAAAAGAAAAAGAAAAATTATATATATACCTGTGTGGTTATACATGTTTCTCTGTGTACATATTTGTTAAAAACTATTGTTGTTTACAATTCTAACAACTGAACTTACATTTTAAATTAGGAAAACCTATTTTCCTTATCTAACATTGAAATCTCTCCATTTACTGAATGAGCACAGAAAGTAAGATTTTTACTACAAACACTAGAATTTATATTTTTTTAAAATCAGAAATAAGACCAAAGCATGATGACAACACTAAATAAACCAGGAAGAACTAGCTATTGATCTACAGCTCAGACTCTATGTTTAGGTGGTGGACTCCACTAAGACTTTTACAAATGTTCTCTTAAGAAAAGGCACACAGGCCGGCGCCGTGGCTTAATAGGCTAATCCTCCGCCTGTGGTGCCGGCACCCCGGGTTCTAGTCCCAGTTGGGGCATGGATTCTGTCCCAGTTGCTCCTCTTCCAGTCCAGCTCTCTGCTGTGGCCCGGGAGCGCAGTGGAGGATGGCCCAAGTACATGGGCCCTGCACCCACAGGAGAGACCAGGAGGAAGCACCTGGCTCCTGGCTTCCTGGCTTCGGATCACCACAGCGCGCTGGCCATGGTAACCATCTGGGGGGTGAACCAACAGAAGGAAGACCTTTCTCTCTCCTCTCTCTCACTGTCTAACTCTGCCTGTCAAAAAAAAAAAAAAAAAAGGCACACAGTAAATGTATATATAATACCTAATTTTGGGGGGGGGGAATGAGGAGGAAGCATATTTATAGAGCTCTTAGAATAATGAGGACTCTCCAAGGAGTTCCATGAACAACCTAGAGAATACTAATTTTCAAACCTCTAGGCAAAGAGAAAAAAATAAGCAAAGATATACTACAGGTAGAAATGAACAAATTAGCTATGCTCTCTGATTTACAGAAAAGCACCTGAATTGATCAACTTCATTTAATGTTAAGGTCACTCCTCTACTTTTGAACAAAAGTGATCTGAAGGCAAACATAAGGTTTTCCAAGTAAATTATGATAATGCTTAAATAAATGAGTTAGGAATTGGAAGAACACTAGGTAAGCTATAAAGAGTGGGTAAGTGAATAAAAATGCAGATTTCATAACTAGGCTGTCAATTAACATCATTTACTAATTATCCAGTGCTAGTTCTGAAAATCCATCAACCTTTAAAATATGGTCATCTTGCTACGGATGTTAAATTAAAAAAATAATATGTTGGTGTTTAAAACCTTACTTGTTAAAGCATAATTGGGGTTCTCTACTTCCATCCGTTGCATTTGAGCACTCAAAAATACTTTAATGTCTATCCCTCTGGCAAATGATGATGAATTAAAAAATCTGGAAGGAATTTTAGAAGCGATATCTGGTTCATCTCGTCCAAATCCAAGATTATAAAGAATTTCTTCTGGATCTTCCTCATAAAGTTCCAACAATTCTGAAACACTACAAAATGATAGAAGAAAAAGAGAAATATTGAGAAATACATCTTATAGTCTGAAATAAATCTTAGCACCTAATCCACATCACATTATACATGATTACATCTTCTTGCTCTCCTATGAGAAATCTTTATTTCAGCTTCTGCTCTTTAAATTACTGCTTATTTCAATAGCTTTATACATTGTGAATTAAATGAATACTAAAATGCTTTGGGTCAATTAGTTTTCTCAAGCTTCCAGTGTGGCAAAAAAGGTGTGATTGCTCACCTTATTTTTCTTTATTAAACACAATTAGAGGACAAATGAGAAGGGACGGGGTAAACAGATTAAAGAAGAAATGAAAAGGAAAAATATACCAGAAAGTTGATAAAACTTTGATCCTGTGGAACACTCTGCAAGACTTCAGCTTTTTTTCTATCTCTGGCCAAGGAAAGGCAACAGAGGTAACCACCTGACCTCTAAGCAGAGGAATGGAGCTAATCCTCTACTCTTCACTGTCCCTTCTACACAGGAAGTGACAAGAGTAAAGTTCAGAGTAGGGATTCCACAAAGCTATAACTCTCTGCCCTGATTCTATTGAAAATTAAACATTATTCATCTCTTTCCTCTCACCCTAATGATAATCCAAGCTTTCTAGAACTTTCTGAAGAAAATAGGAAAGTTAGAGATGGAATTTGAACAGGACATCTGAATCAGTTTCAGAGCAAATGCTCAGAATCCAGTATAATAATTTGGCTAATAGTTTAAACTAGTTCCACAGACACATTTTTTGGCTTATTCTAATACATATTTTCAAGATCTTTAGGTTAACACATTGAAAATACATGCTTAAATTTCAAACTTTAAATTAGAAAGATTTATTCTGATTCTTTTTTTTTTTCTGATTCATTTTTTTAAAGGTTTATTTAGTTAGAGCAAGGGAGAGACAGAAAGCGAGATCTTCCATCTGCTGGCTTACTCCCAGATGACTGTAATAGTTGGGGCTAGGCCAAGCTAAAGCCTGGAGCTTCATGTGGGCCTCCCATGTGGGTGGCAGGAGCCCAAGCACTTGAACCATCTTCTGCTTCTTTTCCCAGGCCATTAGCAGGGAACTAGATAAGAAGTGGAGCAGCCAGGACACAAACTTGGCTCCACTTGTGCTATACCACAATGCCAGCCCCTATTCTAATTCACATCTGTGTCATAGTTAATTCAAATCCCTAATAAAATATTTTGGCTTTCTACAAATTGATGTTACTCCACTATGGAGTTCCTCTTTGATGCCAATGATAGCATTCAAAATACTATCAATGGATTCAAGCAGCACTACAAACTGTTTTTATTTAATCATGATTTAAAAAAAAAAGCTCCTGACAGTTGTGCTGATCCAGGAAACACTAAGTTTTTTCTAATTTCTCACTTTCAAGGTTAAACATAAAAAAAGTAATGAGGGTAGGTTCTCTACAAAACCATGTAACTACAACATACTTTCATAGTAAGTTACCTTGAGACTGTCCCACTGCTTTTCCCAGATCCAGTGGAATTCATACTTCTCCCCTTCTGATGAAACTGTAGTCTTCTCTCTTTGGCCAAGATATTATTGCTATAAACATAAGATTATACAGACATTTATTTTTGTGAATGTTCTCCATTTTTAGGAAGTAAGAGAACAAAATAGATACTCACCAATTTTCCATTTGAGCATCACTTTCATGAAGGTGGTTGGCTACAGGTAAAAACAATAAATGTAGAGAACAACTGTTAGTGGGACCGCAACTACTACGATAAAAATATCAAGAAAGCAAATTACTTACAATATTATACCCACATACCCAATGTGGCAATGTTATGTCATGACTTATTAAATCAGCATCATTAAAAGTAGTATCAGATAGAAAAGAATAGGATTAGCAGGTTTTGAAGGTGCTTTTATTTTCCGGTGATGTAAAACTATATCTACTTGAATACATAAAAAGACCTATTAAAATTAATTAAATTTGTTTATTAGATTAGAAATAATAAGGAAAACAGGTGGCATATATGTGGTATATGGAATACTAATTATTAAATTTAAAAGCTGTTAATGAAGAATATCTCAAGACACAACATAATTTATCATTGGTTAGGCACAGCATTAAATAATTAAACATCATTTGTAATGTGGGTTTTCTAATAAGATTACAAGCAATGTTTCAGGCACATAACTTGAAAATTTCTTTTTCTTTTCTTTATTTTAAAAAAGCTTTATTTTGGGGGCCAGTGCCATGGCTCACTTGGTTAATCCTCTGCCTGCGGCGCTGGCATCCCATATGGGCGCCAGGTTCTAGTCCCGGCTGCTCCTCTTCCAGTCCAGCTCTCTGCTGTGGCCCAGGAGGACAGCGGAGAATGGCCCAAGTGCTTGGGCACCTGCACCCGTGTGGGAGACCAGGAAGAAGCACCTGGCTCCTAGCTTCGTTCGGATCAGTGTAGTGCCGGCCATTTGGGGAGTGAACCAACGAAAGGAAGACCTTTCTGTCTGTCTCTCTCTCTCACTGTCTATAACTCTACCTGGCAAGTGAAAAAAAAAAAAAAAAAAAAGCTTTATTTTTAAATTACTCCCATTTTATTGGAAAGGCAAAGAGACAAAGATAGAGAGACAGGGATCCTCCATCTACAACCTCACGCCCCAGTGCTCCAAACAGCCAGGGCTTGGTCAGGATGAAGCCAGGAGCCTGGATTCTGCCTCCCAAATAGGTGGCAAGCACCCAAGCACCAAACACCAGAGTCATCATCTGCTCCCTCCCAGGATGAGCAACAGCACGTGTCTGGATCTGAAGCAAAGGAGGCAGGACTCAAACCCTCTGAATGGGATGCGGACATCCTAAATAGTGACTCAACTGCTATGCCAAACATCCACCCCTCTAATCTTTTCAACATAAATTTTCTTTTAAAAATTACCTTTTAACTTTACCTTAGATTTAAAAATTCTAAGCAGTAAATGTTAACAGTTGCATGAATTAAATATATTTAAGCATGCATAGACAAATATAAAGAATGAAATTAACAACAAACATATCTATTACAGCACACTTGATTTATTTATCATTGAATATCTGCAAAGCTATGACAATTTTTTGTTTCTTGGTACATCTACCTGAAAGATACTTAACACATGGCACTAAGGAACGAAAAGTAACTTTCCCAAGTAATTTTCCTTAAAACAACGTAATAGTTTCATGGACTCATGTTTACAATTCCTCTTCCCAGTCTGATTTACAATAACATCACTTAAAATTATGGAAGTACCAAGACAGATATCAAAAGTGCTATTTATGGGGTAAGCATCTGCAATAGTGGTTAAGACACTGTGCAAGATGCCCACATCCCATATCAGAGTGCCCGGGTTTGAGTCTCAGCTTCATGCCAGATTCCAATCTCCTGCGAATATGCATTGGGGTAAGCAGCAGGTGATGCCTCAAGTAGCTGAGTTCCTGCCACCCATGTGGAAAACCCAGATTGAGTTCTTGGCTCCTCCTAGAGCCCAGGCTGCTATATTTATTTGTAGAGTGACCCAGCAGATGGAACATCTCAATCAATATCTCCCTCTCACTCACTCTCGTTGTCTTTCAAATAAATATATTTTAAGTGACCTTTACAGTAATTCTGAAATTCATATTGATAGTAGACTGTTGTGATTAGGAAGCAATAAATTTAAGGTTTCACGGTGTTTACTCCTTGAAAATATACTGACAAAAAATAATAAAAATCAATACATTCACATTTGTATATTTACATATAAGAGTTTTCATTATTAGAAGTTTCTAAACAAGAAATTTATCTTACAGATGGATTTAAAATAGCAAAACATCATGTATATTATTCAGTGGGTAAATTTACTATCTTCTTACAGCTTTAAAAGTTTTGGTAAAATCATTAGTTTCTTTAAAAGTTTCCATTAATAATAAGCTATAAGCTATCAATAACCAATTTAAGTCAGTGAAATAAAACATGATCATTAAGCTACAAAAAACCTTTTAAAATACTAGTAAAACAATGAAAATCATTAATTTTACATGGCAGGAAGTTTTATTTTGAATCTACAGGGAAGTATTATTTAAAACCTATGAAAACTTAAAAACAGCACAAGACACTTCCAAAATGCTAATGAAGTCTGAAACAGATACGAACATAATACTCTCAAATTAAATTTTACTAACTGCTATTTTCTCTTTGTCCTTTAACCTAAATATCAGGAAAAAGAAGAAGGGAAAAGAAAGGACACTTAAATGCAAAGCAAAAGATAAACTGCAGCTGTAAGTATGACATAAGTCTACTTCACACTAAAAATAAGCTTCCATTTAGTTTTCTCATGTATAAATATTTAAGCTTTCTTCCTTCTTCAGGACAACTCTTCATTTAGTTCTATCACAAGTCTGTCACAAACAGTTCTTTAAGCATTTAAGTCCAAGGAAGACATGCATACAGACATTTCACAATGGTTTTTCAGAGTCACCCCTCCATGTACCCTACAGGCTATGATTAAATTATTAATCTATAAAAGGGAAGTACCATAAAATGTGAGCCACTTTTAAGACCTTTTTACATTTCGCTCTGAGATTCATAAACCTGAAAACACTCAACATTCTCATCAGTTATTATTTTTTTAAACTACATGAAAACACAGTTCTTCCCAACAAATATACCTTCAGCTCCCAATGACAAATCATCTTCAAAACTTCCTCCATTTCGCACAAGCACACCTGAAACAAACGTTTGAAAATTCAGAAAATTCTGATCTGTTCTGTTCTGTTCTCCCCCTGTTTTAGTTAAAAAAAATTGACCAAACAAGTTATTCATAAGATAAAGTGAAATGTTTCAGACCTGAATATACTTGGACATTCTTGCTTATATAATTTCGAGAAGCAAGTATAAGCCTTTATTTTATTTAAAGAAACCATACTTGCAGCCAGGTAAAGTTTCAAAAGCAAGATCTATAGGCTTACTACACCTCTGAGGATGTTCAACTGGCTAACATACCGTACCCAAGAATTTCATGGAAAACCAATCTTGGAGCAACAATCCCTTTTATCCTCTTCGCACTAATTCCGGATCTCAAGCTAGATTTTCCTGACTCTATAAGTGCTTTTTATATGCCTTGCCACTACCTGCACATTCTTGTTGTACTTTGAACTTTAGAATTCTATCTTGCACAGCTGGTAAAATTTCAGGTGTGGCAATTTCAGTTAATGTAAGCAAAGAAATGCTGCACTACAGTTGATCTAGTTCACTCAATATATGTTTTCATTATATTTACATGGCATATTTCTATATTTAATTAGTCTTTATAATATCTGACTGGACAATAAAAATACCAGCTTTACATTGTAGAAAAGTTGGCAATTTGCTTAAATTCACCTACTGTTTATGACAGAGTTTCTCCCTTTTGGTTTCTAGCTCAGAATGCCTATTTTATAAACATGAACATCACTTTTATCATTCACATACACACTTTCACCCAGAGGACAAATGAAGTGAAATCCTCAATGCAGAAGAGACTTAGACAATTTTATCTTACCCTTCAGTGTACCACTGCTTTGTTCATCCAGTGAGGCTCCCAAAGGCGTACTGAAACCACAGAAATATAGAGGTCTTAGCCTCATCAAAAGCTATCTGGAGAGTTGTCCCTATACAGCCTTACTTAAAGCTAGCTCTTAATCTAACTCTCCTCTCAAAACACATGAGGAATGCAAGTGGATTACATAAATAATATCTTACTAACTAAGCAAATACCTATAGTCAAGTCAGTTCCCAGGAATGATTTAATCACATGTCTGATTTGCCAGCAATTAAGAGCAAGAACGGCAATTACAAGTGATATGAACTAGCATTTTCTTTGCAAAAACAAACACAGATTGACAGTAATTCATAAGAAAATGTTCTTCTCGAGCCCTTTACTGAAATGGAAAACAGAAGTAGATGAAAATTTAACCTTAATAAAATTAAAAAGTTGAGTCTAATTAGAAATGAGGCACATGGGACTGGCAGTGTGGTGCAGTGGTTTAAGCCACCCTCTGTGAAGCCAGCATCCCATATTAGTGCTGGATGGAGACCCAACAGCTCTGCTTCCCATCCAGCATTCCCGCTAATGTGCCTGAAAAAGCAGCAGTTCAGAATGGTCCAAAGTGCCTGGCCCCTGCACCCAAACGGGAAACCCAGAAGCAGCTAATGGTTTCTGGTTTCGGCTGGGCCCAGCCATTTGAGGAGTGAACCAGTAGCTGGAAAATCTCTGCCTCTCTCTGTAACTCTGCTTTTCAAATAAATAAAAATAAACTGTTAAAAAAAAAAAAAAAGAATTAAGAGGAAGAAAAGAAATGAGGCTCTACAGTTTTCTTCATCTATTAATTTATCACTAGCAGCTCTAACATTTCAGAGTACTACCTCTTCCACCCCCAAAACTATACTTTTTGATATAAAGGGTAAAGTCTGAGACTCATCTTCTGCTTTTAAACTATGATTTCACTTAATTCTGAAAAATACTAAATAGTACACTTACAATCAACATTAAGAATTAGTCTTTACTAAAATTTTTTCACATCCTTGTAGTTCAAACATAGATGACATAAATTCCCTTGTTCAAATACAAAAATACATTTAATATTCTCAAAAGTAAGTTACAGTAAGAAGAATGTTGCTTTATTTTCTATTTTGTGATACCACCCTTTCTTTAGTAACAATTTATACCTGCTACACATTCACTTCAGAATTGGAATCTATCATAAAAATAACACTTTGAAAGAAATTTACTGAAATGGCAGTTAAATGATAAAACTTTCTGTAAGCAAATATATAATTTCAGTTGCAAAAGATCAGTGCTTCTGAAATATTAAAGAGCCAAAATCAACTATCATAACAATATTAGTAAAACCTTTAAGCTAAGTTTTTGCACATATTTTTAATAAAACTTTAACGTATGCCTTTAAAATGCCACTCTTCTTCCCTTATGGCTACTTTCTTAGTTACTTCAAAACACTACATTACTACATCCACTGATATCTCCATTAGTCTGTGTAGGGAAAGAAAATGGCTCATAAGCAAAAGTAACTGCCATCCTCCTTCAAAAACAAGTCTCTTATGCTAAGAGTTATCCACCTCCAAATTCTAGCAAAATATCTATCTTTTCTCAGATGTCAATTCAAGCAATGCATTTCCACTTAGGAAAAAAAAAAAAAAAGGCTATCAAACTAAAACTCCCTGTAAGGAATGAAAACATGGTATCTTTATTTAGGATATGGACAGCAATAAGAAAACAAAGCACAGTTGAGAACTTATCAGTGAAGAAAAATGCTATCTTCCAGTTTTGTACATAATCATAAGAAACATGGTAGCCCAATTCTAGGGATAAATCTAAATTCGTATCAACAAAAAAATATAGTTGCACGTATCATAGCAGCCAAATCTGTGATAATATAGCTAGCATTAAAAAACGTCTTGTTCCAGCTTTCCGAAGGTACAAATGAATGCCGCTTTTGTATAGAATAGGTGCAACTGCAGGAAACAAGAAGGGAACCTATGACAGAAGGGGCAGCAGACTACAGAACATGCCTACATAAGTCAAGACTGGCAACAAAACTTCTGGAATTTTCATAATGACTGTGCCTTGGTGAGTACCAACAGTTGCCTATTTATCCCAAAAGATGTACTTAAGAGCACTATTTCATATGATCTTACACAATCTAAACGCCCATGGATCATAAAGTGATTCATCTCTTGCTCTTAATTTTTAAAAACACTTTCAAACATACACTTGAACTTCAACAATAAAACACTACTAGATTGTTTTGTGAATGCTCAGCCTATTTTGAGATACTAATTATAAGCCAATACTGTGCTTCAGACTGTATTTAAATCAAGAGTCAGATTGAAGGGTTTTAAAAACCTGAGTCAAAGTAATAAAACACCCTCTTCAGACACATTTCTAGTAGGAAACCTGAAAGACTTTGGTTTCACAAGATCTCTGAGATGTTCTGAAATGCTTCTTCAAAATTCTTCAACCTTTAAATTTTACAGCATGTTGCTACTGAACAATTAATGAAACACTGGCATATGATGAGTTCTGGACCTACAGTCTAGTTCTAAGTAGAAGCAGTTAAGGACATACTGTCCTAATTTGGAAATCACGGGACTGAATTAAAGTGCCACTTTCATTCTGAGGTCCAGACATCAAGCAGTCTGTCTGCCCTGGTGCATCTTTAAAGAGAAGACCCACACATTTCACAATGCCTCCAGAGGACTTAGGACATCTCCAGTGAATGGTAAAGAGTTCTATGGTGAAAAGATTCAGTAAGGTTCCAGTCAATTCATCAGAACAGGGCAATAATAGTAGCAGTAGTCAGTATTTGTCTCTAGGGAAGAAAAATAAACTAGCACATGAGAATCAGTCTCAAGAAAAAACACTACAAGCAAAAAGAAAACTTCTCAAATGCTGATACGTGAACCAAATATTAACAAAAGCTGACCGAGAAGGCAAATATATGTTCAGAGGCAACATCAAAAACGTTAAAAACTACATTCCTCATATAAAATTTTACAACTAGCAAGTAAGTCGGGAAACAATATGAAACGAGCCCCTTTTACTGTAGTCAGATTTACTTGCAGTGCGGCTCACGTCCGCTGTATTTTATCAAGCATTTTTGTACCAGTTGCCAAAACATGTAATTAAACAGATCTGTGAAGTCTGAATGCTTTCTAAGCCCCATTTCCCTTCTGTGAATTCCAATGCCATGTGACAAGTCCATGTCCAAGAAGCAAACTCCAAACACAATCTTAGCTAGTTCTAACAGCTCTCCAAGCCGAATTAAGGCAGAGACGGGCAATGAAAGCCTAGTTCACGCCGCTCAGTATATGAAACTTATCTAAAACACACTTGCAAGGGTGATGATTCACTACCAGATGCCCAGATGCCAAAACACAAGCAAGACAAAACAGCCTGCAAAACGTGAGCACTGCCTCAAGCAAAAAAAGACGGCTGGCTCATCCGCTTCAGGGTCCCGGACCGCCCAGGATGCCCGGGCCGAAGTCCTAACTGCGGAGTTAACGCGGTCACCGAGTCACCAGCAGCCGCGCTGCCTCCGTTCCCAATCGCTGAGAGAGGAAGCTATCGGCCCGGCTCGCTTTCCGGTTCCTAGCTTGCAGCGACCACGAGACCCGCGGGGACACGGCCCGGAGTCCCCGCGCGCCCAACTCCCCGGGGGACGCGGGCGGCCAGCGCGCCCGCAGACTCACCGGCAGTCCTTGAGCCATATCGCGATCTTCTCGTTGGGCACGTTTCCTGCGGGCCAGAGCGAGGGGACGAGAGCGCGTTAGCCACCCCAGAGGGACACCGCGGGCACTCCCAAGCAGGACAACCCACCGGGGCCCCTGGCAGCCTTTCTAAGCGCGGCGCGCCTCGGCGCCCGAGTGAGGGGAAGCAGACGGCTGCCAGGTGTCTACGTTGACGCAGGAGATGCCTCGTCAAGCGCGCGCGTTTAAAGGTCGGAAGTGTCCCCGCTCCCACCCTCCCCGGCCTGTCGAGCACCGGCGGAGCTTCCAGAACCCGCAGCCGGAGCCCGGAGCCTGGCGCACCCACCTCTGCCGGCGGCCGCCGGCAGCTTCGCGCCGGGCAGGTCCTCCTCGTCGTCCTCGTCCTCGTCCTGCGTCGTGGCTTCCGTGGACAGGTCCTCCGTCTCCGACGCCTGCCAGGAGCTGCGGCACTTGGCCCAGGCCTTCCTCCGGCGACTCGCCACTTGCCACTCCAGTTCCTCCTCCGCCTCCGCCGACGCCGCCAGGGGCCGGCTCATGGCCGCACCGGGGGGCTCGGCCGCGCTAGCCGGGAGCCTGCGTGAGACACGACGGCGGCGGTGGCGGTGGCGGTGGCGGTGGCGGCGGCGGCGGGGACCCCCCGCCCCTGCTGTCAGCGCCCGGCCGGGCTGGGGGCCCCGGGGAGCGAGAGCGGGCGCCGGAGGAGGAGGGGACAGGGAGGGAGGGAGGGAAGGAAGGGGAGGGAGGGGGCGGAGGGCCTGCGCTTCACATGAAGCCGGCGGGGCGCGGCGCGGGAGCGCGAGTGGCCCGAGCGAGCGCGGCTGGGAGCCGAGCGCCGGCCCGGCCCCGGTTCCCTGCCCCCCGCCTCCCGCCTCCGCCCCCGCCCGGCGCGCCCCAGCCTTGGCCGGCCGCCTCGCCACGGCACGCCCCTCCCTCGGCGGCGGCCCACGCCCCCTTCCGGCCAGGGGCGCGCGGGGCGCGGCGCGGCGCGGCGCTGCGGGGCGGGGCGCGGCGGGCCGAGCGGACCCGCCCCCCGCTGCTGCCGCCCCGAATTGCGAGCTTGGTGTGCTGGCCGAGTCTCCTCTCCTGTCAACTCCCGCTCCCTCGCGCGAACATGGCGATAAAGAGGGGAGGGCCGAGTCTCGCAAAACGCCCCCGCGTGAAAACAAGTGTCTGCTTGAGCTCCCGGGACGTGTTCTTTGAGGAGGTGCCTGGCTGTAAGCTAGGTTGGTGTCCCAGGCTGACAGAGAGCCGCGTGATTGGCACTGTCAGGCTGTCAGACCAGGGATGGCCAAGCTCGTGGCGTGCTGCTCTCAGACTTTAAAAAGTTAGTTATTGCAGTCATGGGTGAAAATGAACTGAGAGAAAATCATTTCATCTGGAAGCTTGGACCAAGGGGGGGGGGAATGAAGGAATGACCTGAAAATGTAGATTAATTGGTTCGTTTTGGTGCTACATGAAGCTATGAGAAACAAACGTCAAAGTTCAGAACAAAGTTTCAGATGAGCTTGAGCATTCCCTTTTGTTACTTTCAAATCTCCTTAGCAGAAAGACTCAAATTCTACGCAGAATCAGATACAGTATGGCATAACAAGCAACAATGGCCCCTAAGCTTCCTACACATTCTGTGCAAGCCTTCCAGTATCTTAGTGTACTGTCTATACGCTGAAGAACACGTTAGAACACTTTTTGATGCTTACTTGAAACTATTTTGCATTAACATGATATTTTAAGGAAGAAATTTTTTTTCATTTGGAAATTATGACAGTAAAATCAAGAGCATGGTACTGAAACACTTGTATCACCTAGCACTTAAATGTATCATCATTGATAGCTGAAGGAAATCACAATTTTTTGGAGAAGTTAGGACACAGAATGCTCTTGAGGTGATACGGTGCATAATTCTGATTCGGGTATTTACTCATGAAACACACAGAGTACTAAAATATGAGAGGTGGCATACTGATTTTCCTGCTTTCATTCTTCCCTTCTGTTTAGCACATTGCTCCTGATTTACAGTTCTTGGAGCATCCCTATTTCTTACTAAAATCAACGACTTCTAATGAGTTTTCCAGAACCATCATAACATTACCCTGGGCCTTATGTGCTTCCTGTGAAATGTAAAGAACAGTGGTACTGAAGTCTCTGCATGGCTTGACATTTCACTCTTAGGGATTCTTTTCCTTGACTCCTTAGGTCTTCAGCCTTCAAGAATCCTAAAGTAGTATGCAGCCAACAGTTTAATGGCCCTGCACTATAGGGCAGAATCTAGCTGCCTGCAGGGCGAGTAAGAGGGAGTACAGGAACTGCCTAAAGAGCAGGCATTGGAAGAGATGGTGAAATCCTACGACAGAGGCTGCCTTCAGTATCCTACAGAGCCTTTAGGGGTCCCGCACTGTCCACTGGGGCTCAGCTTCAATTCTGTCATCTCCATGTGCTGTAGCTGGTGCTTGTCCTTGCCTCTTATGCATTCCTGTTCTTTCTGTCCAGTACCTTCAGGACTTTGAAAATCCAGCTTAGCCAGAAACTCACGACTCCATCATTGCACCACTTCTCATCATACCCCTCCCGCAGTTCTCTGATACACCACAGAATATCTATAGCATTTATTTCTTGAATGGAATGTACAGTGCATAATGGGACTAACCCTGAAGGGGATGTTTGGCTTACCAGCCAGACTGTATACCTAGGAGATGAAAGAACATTTCTCAGTGTTTTTCTTGTACCCCTATTCTCACACTTTGTTTACAGAGTTGATCCCGGCAAGGGATAATAAACCTTCTTGAGGTAAATTTCCTATCTATTGATATTATTATGTTCTTCAGAAAAGGCACTCAGACTGATAAAATATTTGCCTCATGTTATTTTCTCTAAGACCTTTTATCTGTTATTTAGCTTTGCTCTTATTTAAGTACATTTTTAGACAACAACAAAGAATTCTTGAGAAAAGCAATAAGGAACCATAGTTTATATTTCAATACAGAACACCCAGGGTCAAATAATGGAGGAAATTCTAGCAACTAACATTATAAGAGAGTATAGCAATTATCAATCCTCTAACCGAACAAGTAAATGTTTTCTTCTAGATAGTCATTTTTCATGCAACTTTTGAGAATGCAGAAATAAGAGAGGGAAATCTCCATGAAACTGGGTGGTAATGCCTTGACACATAGAGGATTTTACTTGTTTTGTCACCTTTGAATTTTTTTAAATGTTCATGGTGTTTCATTTACTCAATAATGAATGTTCATATGAGAAGAGTCTAGATGTTGACTTTTTTCTTCCCAAACAAGTACAGATTTGAAGACCAACTGCAAGTCAACATTTCGAAACTTCTACATAAAGAATACTGTTTACATCATTGATTCTTACATGCTAGAGGAAACAATAAATTTGTGTGAGATGTGGATAATTCCAAACAGTGCAATAAAGTAGAAACAATAGGGGCTATGTTATTAGACTAAAGTTTGAAATGTGTTTCCCTTTTTTCCTAGCTGTGTCTCAGACAAGACAGGTAATATCCCTAGCCATCACATTCCTCATCTGTGAAATAGCAGTCATAATAACTACTTTCCCAAGTTGATGTCAGGATCACACAAAATAAAGTAAGTGCTCAGAATACCTATTAGAATAACTATTGTAAAAGGGAAAGCATAAGTCAACTTATTTATATTGCGGATCATTATACTAGTTATAGTATCTATCTTTATGCTTATGTAGTTGTATTTTAAAATTGGCACAAATCATGCTTGTACAGAATGCATACTCTGGTTAAATTAGACAATTTTAAGGGGAAACCGTGTGCCGAATTAAATTGTTTTAGTCATTTTTAATTTTTCTAAACCTTAACACAGGCCTCAACATGGCAAAGCAAAATTTACTATTGGGTAGTCTAGGCATTTTGATTCCAGCTAAGGTATTGTTTCTTTGATATAATCTATGTAATCAAAAATTTGATTTTGTGCCTCAAAATTTTAATAATTCAAACTCTGATCAAAGATTGATAGAGTTGTAGGCATATAAGAATTTCATCCCTTATTAAGACAGTATTGAGCTTGGAGGCATAAGTTAAGTAGAATTTCAGATAAATGAACACAGCAGCATTTAATATTTCAATAGAATTACCTGAAATAAGAAACTCTACATGAAAAAGCTTGGAAAATTCTTCATATGATAGCCTCTCTACTTCTTCCACCTCCAACCAGGTCACAAATGAATGTAAAAAAACTTGAGAAGTATTCAAAATTTATTTTTTAAAAAACATGGTATAATTTTGTTCAATCCAATAGTTCTAAAATTTATCTTAACAGAGAATCTTTTGGGATCCTTTAATACGAGAATAAACTCTTCAAAATCTTTCAAAGATTTATTTACAAATCATATCAGTGAACTATAAGAAGTAATTAGTCTGATTTAGATTAAGTCTTTGATATATTTCTTGTAAGCCTTTGTGAGATATTCACATATCTCAGCTTCTTCAGTTTACCACAGAATCCTAAATTTCTCTCCTGCACTGTGAAATCGTGTGGCTAGTTTGTTTTCTTTTCAGAGGCTCAATTCTCTGGTGTTTCTGAGCAACAGGTAAGAATGCTCATCTATTCTTCATCAACACTGGAGGGAAACAAGATTATGTAACAGAATAAACTTCATTTGTTTGGTTTCATGAATTTGTGAAATAACTCAAAGGAAGTTTTAAATCCTCTTTACTGGACACAGTTACACATGGGAAAGCCAAAATGTTTGAAATTCTTCTGTGAATGTACTGAATTACCCTTGATGCTCATTTGGACCAATCCTTTCTCTTTTTTCTCAGTCTGCCCTAAAATGCTGCTTTAAAAGATCTCTGACATTTTGGATCATAAAAGCTTTTAGAGACATGTATGTATCAATATCAAATGCTTAGTATAACAACTACATTAAGGATATTAAGGATTTTTCTGCAGTACAAAACTAATAGGAGATGTCATTATTGTGTCTCCTACTATTAATGCCATCCTACAATTTGATCAATTTATTGATTCACTTTTACTCCCAGATATTAGTTTATTTTCTAGTTCCTATGTTTACATATATATAATATATATCTACAAGAACTTTTAAAAATTGTGTGAGTTTGCTGTCCATAGAAGAGTGATTGGAGTTATATATTTATGTGTAGATCTCTACTCTGCATTTTATGAAGACCAGGAAAAGGAAAGCTGGTGACTGACTAAATGAATCAAGTATCTATCTTATACTGATGGATTTTGAAAAGCTTTAAAAGGCACAGACCCCACAATGGTTACTTTCTCTCTCTCTCTCAAACACACACACACACACACACACACACACACGTCTTTAAAGTATTCTTTTGGTGTGTGCCAGAAGCTGAATAAATATAACTTGCACTGGCCTCTCCTACCTCGTTTCCCTTCTCTAATCTCCCTTCTGCAGCGCCTTCATGCCCATCTCAGAACAAATACAATCTGCATTCAGAACAGGACCTTTTACAAATTGAATGGAGTTATTTTGGGTGAGTCATTGAAAACACAGTACAAAACCTTTTCTCACCAGAAATGCATTTTTTTAAATAAAGCCAAAGTGAACAAGGCTTGGCAAGTTTGAGAGTGGACAAGTGGGGAGAGAGCAAGGCTTCTGCCAGACTCAGACAGAATTCTGGTAAACCATTTTTGGCTATACCTATTCCCCTTACCATCACCAACCACAGAGTACCAAATTAGGCAGGTAGGATATCAAAACAGACACACCATGTCAACTAGCACTGTGGTGGTAAGCATAGCAGGTAGATCCACAATAGCTTAACCAAGGTTTTAAGTGTTCCTTTTGATCTGTCTGTAATTCAGAAGCTGTAAAATATATTCAGTTAATAATCCTTTTCTTCTGATTAATTTTGGACAAAATAGGAAGTTGTATGTAAATTCAATATTCAGTCCTTTAAAATTACACTTACGATAAGTGAAATCTGCTGGTGTTGTGGTGGAGCAAGTTAAGCTGACAGAATAAAAACCTCTTTATCTCTCTGTATTTTTCCCTCTGACACTCTGTCTTTCAAATTAATAAAATAAATGTTAAAAAATAAAGCAAAACTTCATGAGGATTAATCAAATGATAACATTAAATAGAACTATAGAGACAGAAAATAATGAGCTAATTCCTAAGAAACTTCTAAAATTGAATTATTATAAAAAATAAAAGTCTAGGGGCTGCTATTATGGTACATCAGGTTAAGCTGCTGTCTGCAATGCTGGCATCCCACCTGAGCACAAGGTTCAAATCCTGTGTGCTCGACTTCTGATCGAGTTTCCTACTAAAGTGCCTGGGATCAGTGATTTCACTATAGAATGGATTAAAAATTTTAGATATTTAACATGAGGAAGGTTTGTAAATCAATGTAGATTCTTTATCTATAAAACACATTACTTACCTTGTATCCTGTAGAGACTTTGTAGCAGAACTATAAGTGATTTCTTTTCCACAACTAGCTACAGATCAGTTTCGGCTCACATCTCATGAATGAGAAGAAACCTAGAATCAACAAAGACACATTCTTAAACACATAATGCTAACAGAACTCTTGTTATAAAATTTAATAGATCGTAAATTCATCATGATCACAGATTGACTCAGCATATTTTTGTAAGCCAATTAACACAGGGGGTCCTGCAGTTGGAAGTGTTGCTTGTTCAAAAGGGATCCCTCTCCAAGTTGTGGGAACAAGCTAGGCCATACTGATTTCACACAAGTATTCTTGAACTCCCTGCAGATTATCAGTTTCTACAAGGCATGGTGACAGTTGTTGGTAAAGGGAATAAAAACTCTGTTAGAAAGTTAATCAACTATTGAAGGGTCAAGGTAAACAGACAGACATTTCCTTCTGTATTCATAGGCAGAGCAAAGTACTCTGGCTTCCCACATTTTAGAACATTTTTTATCTTCACTTCTCTTACATGGTTAAGTAATTGGTTTTAAATTATAAAATGAGAATTTATACAGTATTCCAAACATATCTCTCTTACCTAGGAATGATTTTTATTTAATTTATTTATATTTAAATTAATCTACATATGATCAAAGTCAAGGGTAATTAATTTTTATTTGTAACCCCCAAACTTGAAACTTCCCAAAAATCTGTTTCCAAACAAACCAAAAAGTGAAGCAGATTTCCACTTAAATTTCTGTGAGGAAAGAAATTTATTACAGTTGTTAGGTAGCAAATTTATTACAACTGTTAGGTAGCATCAGCATAGTACTGATCAAACAACATAAAGTTGTATTTATTAATAGACTGCTATTAAATAAAATAACCACAGGATAAAAGTCAGTGCACAGATTGCATTTAATTTATAGGATCTCTTAATCCTTAACTTTATATTGGACAATGTATTTAGTGCAATATTTATATTATCTCATTTAATATAAGAACTATAAATATTGAATTATTCTCACTTTATAGAGAGGGAAAAATCGAAGGATAAAACATTGCTTTCTAGAAGACCACATGGAGCCAGTTGAAAGATGTTAGGAGTGAGGACTGACACTCATAGTGGTGGAGTTGAGAAAGGAGCTACACTAACTGGTACCTACAATGTAGATGTGGGTGAGATTTACCACAGGTCTTTTAGTACTGTGCAATACCTCAAACCTCTATTCACATGACAAAGAAAGAGAGAGAATTCACTTGCCCCATAATCCTCCATCTCTAGGATGGAATGCAATAGATGGGCCACTATTCTTGCCAAATGATTAGGTCTGCCTTGAGATCCTTAAAATGTTGTCTAAAAATATCTTTACAATGTAACCATATATCTAAACAACTTATATGTATTTAAGCAGGGGAAGTAAGTGTGTAAGACCAATCATTTATAGATTGTAACTTGAAGAGTGTTCCTTTCATATGTGATCCAAGTATCTCAACAGCCCTACAAACACTGATAAAGCAATCATGAGAAATGGGAAAATTAAGATTTTAGAACCTATGTTTCTTAACAGCGTTTAATATCAAAATTCCACAGTAAAGTTGAATCTTTGGATCGAAAACTTATAGCTCCACCTAGTCATATTTATGGAGGGCATTCAAGGTTGGGGACAACCTCGGCAAATCTGAGCATGCTATTCAACTTTGTGTTTGATTATCCCTATGATAACATCCTATTCTCTATCCTGGACAAAAGCCCAAAACTGTAACATCCTTGACCTAGCTGCATTCTTGTACTCAGAGTACTTTCCCAGTGATTAAAAATGGCCATGAAAAGAAAGTGTAATTTTTGCTTTGTAACCTAAAATGTAGCCTCTCAGGCAAGACTCAACTGCCAGATAGGACCTGAAGTTTTAAGATTTTACCTAAGAACTATTTAAAAGTAGCATGAAGAGAAAAAATATTCAGAAAATTTTCTAAGTGATAAAAATTCAGATACTACTGTGACTATTAATACTCAAATATATCATTATATATGAGTATATATTAATATTTATCCATTATTTCAAATAGACCAGAAAAGAACTGAGTACCTTGATAACTATCCAGTGACTGCCCAAGGATGGTTTTTACCAAATCACTCTGATATGCAGAGTGGCATCTGCCTATATTGATTCCTAATATGAGCATTGACATAAAAAGAGAATTAACCACCTCTTATAAGAAATCTTCCCAAACATTATTTAGTGTGTCACTGAGTGTTCTAGGAGAAATTTATGGGCACTGAGAATTGGATAACTGACAAACTTTCCGTTTTACATTCACTGCTAGAAAAATTGAGAGCCAAATGTGTTGCTCACCCATGGTAGATGAGTAAATCCTCATGCTATGGATCTTCAACCTTAGTCAGGGCTCTATTTTGTCCCCACCCTTGTTTTGTCCTTTTTTATCCTGTTTTTCTCCTTTTCAAATTTTTCTTGTTTTTGATATGTTATTTTTGCCCATGACAAGGAATAGGTTAAGTATAATATATATGGGAGAAATATACAAAATTATACATTTGCTATGTTTAAACTTACAGAGGAAATTGGGGAGAAATAGACAAAGGTGTTCTGTTAAAATGGCAATACTCTGCCTAACTTTTTCCAAGTCTTTTGAAATTGTATTTACAATTTATGGTGAAAAAATATTTGAACATTGAAAGCTTGAGCTATTTATTGCAGAAGTAGGAGCATAGGGAAGTACGTGCATAATCCCATGCAATGTACTTCAGTTTGATTATATTAAGACAAGTGGGAAACTGTTATAAATTGGAACTTGCAATGTGAGGTGAAAGCCAAAGGTCTTGTGCTACTGTAAGGGATTGTATTATTGCCAGTGGGAAGTTGAAAGCAACTTTCAGTTTTTAAATTAAGAGCTTTACTGAAAGATTAACTACCAACTGTATAATTGAAAATGTAGGTCATGGAAAGTGCTTACAAAAGGGACCCAGTTAGGAAGCTCATTTGTATCATGGAGGGGGGTTGATAAAGATTCAAATTAGAGCGGTAGAGATAGGGGCCACAGTAAGATTTAACAGCTGAGAAATGGGTGGAGAGGAAAATTTAGAATGATCTCTAAACTTTGTTTTCTCCTTTACATGATTGGATACAATTTGGTGTCATTCAACATGATATAGAATTTATAAGACTTTGGCATTTAGGGTTAATTTGTTTAGGAATAAGGAGAACAAGGTAAAGGAAATTTAGTATCACTGGACACAATAGATGTGAAGTACTTATAAGATATAATAATGGAAATATGGCTCCACACTTTCAGAAATCCACTTCTGAACTGGAATTCTGAGTAAGTTTGACTTAAATTGTGTGTGTGTGTGCACACGTGCTTTGAACCATGAATACCAGCTAGCCTTCTTACTGTATGATCCTGACCAACTCTGTTCTGTTTTCTCATGTAAGCTGGT